AGGATAGAAAAACCTCTCCACCCTTCAAGTGGGTTCTGTTGAGGCGCCACTGGTGCTGCTTAGGTCTTCTGGCATTTGCAGCATCTTCCATGCTCCACCAGCCAGTGAACTCTTGGCTTGGCTGCAGAGGAGGACATGAAGGCAGAACCAGACTGCTTAAAAGCTGGAGCTGAGTAAACCCTCATGGTTTGGCTCGATCATTCCCTTTGCAGATGCTCCCTTACACCAAGGAATTTGCATCTGATTTCATCTCCACGGGGTGTTTCGGAGTTGCACCTGCGATTGAGGAGTCACCCTCTTCCGAGCAGTCTCCTTGGTCTTGAACCCAAATCTGAAAGGAGGAAAGAAAAGAAAAAAAAGAATCTATTAGATCAGCGTATTTAAGTTGTCGTTGTTCTAGGTTTGAAAACATTTTAAATATTTTTAAGAAAAATGTTTTCTTTTTTTTTAAGAAAGATTTTAAAAAAATTTTAAGAAAAGATTTTTAAGAAAAATGTTTTCACAATCATTTTTTTTTAAACACGGGCGCGACCCCTCTAGAACAGAGCTAGAGTGGTCTAATCCTGGGCTCTGATACCAAGTTGTAACAAAAAGACGTTTACCAGGTAAACAAACATTCAATCCACATTTTAGGATTTTATAGTTTAAAATCTAATTCAAGTCGTTGTACATTCCACCCAACAACCATCAATCATCAACAAACAAACAATAGAGTTTATATATCCTAGCAAACAGATCTAAGTTTGGTTTAAGAAAAGACTAACTACAAATAAACATGCATGAAAGAGAGGGTGAAGTAACAAGTCCTCACAAATATCTTTCTGGAAGAAAATATACTTTTTCCTTCTCTTTGGGCAGATCTGACACTCGGCACAAAAACGGCGATAACTACTGACACAGATCTTCGAGTTGGACAAAATTTGTTTTATTGGAAAGATGACACTCGAGGCTTCAATTTGATAGGTAGATAGTTGCGTGGTTTCTCACGGTTCGCCATGAAAACATCACACAAGGTAGCGGCAGCAGCTAGGGTTTTCGTGAGAAGAAAAGAAAAGTAGATGAAGGAGGAGAGAGAAGAGACCAAAAGAGAGAGAAAGAGAAAGAGAGTGATGGCGAGAGAGAGAAAGAGGATGGCATGGCTGAAAGAGGGAGAAAGAAGAGAGTAATGTATCTAGGGTTTCCAAATGTGAGAATAAAAGATTAAAAAAGTATTTATAGTTATGGTTTCATATATTGGGCTGATGGGATTTTGCAATAAAAATAAATAAAAAAGCTTAATATAAAATAAATAAAAAATTAAAATAGACTAGAATTAAGAATTGAAAATAAACCGAGATTTAGAAAACTGAAGGTCGGATTGTACAGACATCACGTTTGTGACTAATTTGCCAGCAACATAGTGAAACACGTGATGAGGACCATAAGTGACGTGAGTGGTGAATCTTTAGTACAAATAGTAACTCAATAGGTTTATGTCTTTCTTCTTCTTGCTTTTAGTATTGTTATTACATATGATGGGAGATTTACAAATAGTCCCATAAGAGTATCTTTAACGGGATATCTAAGCAAAAATTTATTAATTTAAAAATAATGTATCATTTCTTATTTGGCCAAGATATCTCTTATTTGAAGACGTTTTTAGTTGTTTTTTCCCACACGTGACAGTTTTTAATTGGTCAGACAAAAAATTCTTCTTTCTCTTTCTTCTTCTTTCACCAATTTCTCTCTCCTTCTTTTTTTTTTATATTTCTTAAATTTAATAATAACAAAATTAATGAGAAACCTATTAAACGTTTCAGCATTTCTCTAAGGGTCGGTTTTTCTTTTGCTCCGGGTTCAAACCCCATTTTGCATGGAAAATTCTTTTTTAAAATCAGAATAAAGCTGACTCCGAGTAATATAGAAGATAATAGCTTGTAATTCGAAAATCTCACAGTATCATAAAAAAACATTAAATAATAGGAGACTTAGTAAATCCAATTTTGTAGAAAACTGCCACTTTTCCTATTTCCTCGTACGAAGGGATATATCAATGATCCCATTCTCTCAAAATATTTTGTAGGAAACTACTTTATCTTTCTTGTACGAAAGTATCAATTATCTCATTCTCTATGTATTATTATGGTGTTATTATCAATCATAACCATACAATTTTTGATTGACTATAGTCATCTTCTTCTATTCTTTTCGAATAAGATTACAAAATAAACTATTTTTCTTCCACAATATCTTTATTTTTCAATTTTTTCTACGATTTAATATATATCGAATATCAATTCAAAGAGCTTTGATCAAAGGCACTAGTGTCTAGTTTAGAAAAAAAAACTTACGAATTGAGTACAAAAAACACCAACGAACACCTTGATGTCAAAAAAGGGCTAAACGAGCCTGGGCTAAAATATGGGCCGGATCTAGTAATATGGGAAGCAGATAGAAAAAACGACGTAGTTTGATTCATCGTTTTCTTTGTGTACATTCTCCAAAATCTTTGAAGTGCGAAATTTGAAATCAGCGTAAGTTCCGGTAAGGTTCGATGGCGCTTAATTCTCGGAAATGTTGATCTTCTTCGGTCTCGCAAGTGTAATCAACGCTCTCTCATCCTCTCTTCCTCCTTCTCGTCTTCCCGTTTTCTTCTCTATTCGTCGAAGCAATTTTTTTTTTCCTTTTTTTTCCCCTCTCAGATTCGATTCTCCGTCTTCCTCAGTTCGAATATGTTCATTGTGAAGGTAATTTATCTTCGTCCCCATCGTTTCGGAAATTCGAATTTATCCAAATCTGATGATCGTGTTTTTGATTAATTGTGTTGTATCTTCTTCAATTCTAAACTGTTTAATCAAAATTGCGATCGATTTCGGATGATTTTTTTTGGTTCAACATGAGAAATCGGAGTTCCGAATTTTAGATTGTTTCATCTAGGTGATTCCATTATTCTATTCGAATTCTCAAAATGGTAGAAATTTTCAGATGATTCAATGATTTCGGGTTCGATTCGTATTTGAATTTGGTGGTTGTTTCATGATTCATTTATCTTTTACGCTATTAGGGTTTGGGCTAATGATCGATTCCAGTGATACTTATGATTCATAATAAGATAGTATTGATCTTTCCAGGTCCTACACGTGAAGTTTTGAGCTGGCTCTTTTAGCTTTTGTGCTGGCCATAATTGATGCAGGTTTATTAAGGAACATACCAAGTTTTGTTATTTTTTTAAAATATATAGTTTTTAGTAATTCCACTTCTAGGTATGGTTTGGTAATGCTTATGTCAATACCTCATTTCAATTTTCTTGTCTGTGTCTAACTCTTCGTTGGTCAGGACTGTATCTTGATGAATTGTTTCTTTTGTTCCATGTTTCAGGTCCACATCTATTTCTAAGTTGAAGGTCTTGACTGATTTTGGCTTACTTGTTGGATCCTGTGTTTGTGATATTGTCACATCTTCTGTGATCTCTTCTTGGCTAATATAGAAAGTGAAAGTCCTTGTTCAAGGCTTCTTTGTTTAATGGCAGCTCAGAGATTCAACTCACAAACTCATTGCCTTGTTTGAGAGACGTCAACTATGTCAGATAGATGGGCTCGGCAAAACGCAGAACCGGCTCATGTCTTTGCTGAGAGAAGAAACGTGAATAAAAACGTTTCAATTCAGACCGGCGAGGAGTTTTCAATGGAGTTTCTCAAGGATCATACTCGTAATGAAAGGCATAGATTTGGGGACCTTTACTATCAGAATCAACCACTGGGATATGACACTGGTGCTCGGTTTCAAGAACCGAGGAGGACAGAATCGGAATGTCCTTCTGATGCATATGATTTCGGACGCGACCCGAGGGCTTCTTCACGGGTTGAGAACGGTGGCTATACGCCTCGTTTTAACGCTTGCCACAACGTTGGTGGTGAGAAAGAAGTTATAACAAGGAAAGCTTTTGGTGAAATAAACTCAAACCAAGGGTGTGTCACAGGGAGGTCTGCACCTTCTGTGTACTTACCAGAGCGTGTTCAGTCAAACAACTATAATGGAGGAGGAGATTTCGACAGATTCGGGAAAGTAAAATTTCTTTGCAGCTTTGGTGGGAAGATTATGCCAAGATCCACAGATGATAAACTGAAATATGTAGGGGGAGAGACGCATATCGTTTCTATACGCAAGAACCTCTCATGGGAAGAACTCAAGAAGAAGACCTCAGCTATATGCCAACAACTGCATTCAATCAAGTATCAGCTTCCAGGGGATGAGCTTGACTCTCTAATATCAGTATCTTCGGACGAGGATCTTCAGAATATGATTGAAGAGTATAATGGGCTAGAAAGGCTCGAGGGCTCGCAAAGGCCACGGCTGTTCTTGATTCCTATTGGGGAGCCTGGAAACAAGGCTCAGCAAAACACTTCTGATTGCCAATATAGTGACCCTAATCCAAGGAAAATCGTCGGTGGTCAGAGTATGGTTAGTGATACAAGCTATCATGTAAACCATTTGGATCGCAATCCAAGTTTAGGTATTCGACCACCGGGTCAGATACTTCGGCTGGATACTACTGCAATGCACACGAATCAACATTTCAATGGAGTTCAGTATAACATGTCTTCCTATCCATCACCTCCTATTTCTCCTTCACCATTCCAACATAGAGAATCAAACGGTGCATTCTCACAATTCCATGGCAACAACTCGAGCTCAGAGAGCAATAATTCCTTCACTCCAGTTCAACCAGATCCCTCTAACTTTGAGACGATTGATTCCAAATATCATCAAAATCGGCCACTGCCTTCAGTAAACTGTCAGACTTACAAGCAGGAGGCAGAGAACCCTTATGGGATTCAATTCCAGAGTGGCATCAACAAAAACCCTGAGACTCCCAATATCAGTCATGTTGATACTTTTGGCTTTAACCTTGACAGGTCTGCGAATAAAGTGTGCATACCCGAAGAATCTAAGGTCTCGTTTTCTGGTTCTACAAATTCAAATGATTCGTTCTTGGGAATCCCACACTCGTACTCGGACTCTACTCTGGAGATTAATGGTGGACACTCTAGTTACTTTTCACAAGAGAGACAGAGCCCATCTTCACCATTCAACTTTACAAAGAAACAAACACAAGAAAAGCCAGTGCAGGTGCATAGGAATAACGATCTAGCTGACCGTCGTACACAAAGTAATATACTCGATTTGAAGTCCAGTGAGGGAGGACCAGGACTATCCGGTGATAGCCAAATATTACATGGAGACATTTCTGCCGCAGCCAATCATTATGATGAGATTTATCTAAATCAAGAAACCAAGAATCAAGAAGGGAACAGTGAAACAGTTTGTCATCAAGGTGGGAAACTACTGGGGACAAGAGCAACCCCTACTGACATGGCATGCAAGAACTTGCCTACCAATAGAAACCAGACCTATATGGTTGTTGACCCGTGGAAGCAAATAAAGCAAGATAATGATCGTTTGATGGCTGGAACCTCATCCGGGAATCTAATATCCTTGGAAGAAGGCATTGCACCTGACACCCCAAATGAGGAAATAGCAGGCATTCTGTACCACACGGGGAACGAGAAAAGAGTCGATCAGAAAGCTTCTGATCTTATTCAAGAACCTAGAAGTCATGCTGTTCGGGCAAGGAATTTGGAAATATCAGGGATCTTGTTGAATAAAAGAGGGCAATCTAATGAGGATTTCTTGTTCAACATCTCCTCAGAATCAGCAAACAGCCCAATTGTTCATGAGACAGGAGGTTTAGAACTTGATCCAACACAAAAGAAGGTGACTTTTGCAAAAACCTCCTGTTTCTAATTTATATTCGTCTCAATACATGATTATCATCTATCATATTCCAACAGTAATAAACTGACCTTGCAGAGAACACAAATAGGCCATGTGAGAATCCCAAGCATTGATATCAATAAACCAGCGCCAACGACGGTCAGTGAAACTTACGATTCACCACAAACCAGCCCACTCACAAAGATGAAGAGCAGTGATACTGTGTTCCTTTCTGAGGTAGTAACTTAATTGTTTACCATATTATAAGTTAAGAGATGATCTCGGTCTCATTATTGTCACTCGTCGACAGGAAGCTGAAGCCAATATCGGCGAAAAAGAGAATAGTTTTAACGACACACTCATTGCTGAAATGGAAGCCAGTGTGTATGGTTTGCAGGTACTCGGGCTTGTTTCTTTGTAAATTAAATAATCCGTAATCACATGGCTTTAGTTATTCCCATTTGGTAATCGCGCTTGAAGAATTGTATATTGCTAATCTGAGTTCTGTCTCCTTCAGCTTGTGTCTGATCAACTCTATTGTTTCTTTTTCTCTAAACAAGACTCAATGAAGACGATACTCTTGTTTGAGATGCCTTATAGAAATTTTAACCTTAACGTATGCTAATTCTACAGATAATAAAGAACGCTGATCTTGAAGACCTAACAGAACTGGGATCCGGGACATATGGAACTGTCTACCACGGAACATGGCGAGGAACGGATGTTGCTATAAAGAGAATAAGGAAGAGCTGCTTTGCAGGGAGATCATCTGAACAAGATCGCTTGGTAAGTTCTCAATCTTTTGTTACTTCTCTCTTTTTTCTTCTTGCTGGTGGTGTTCAAGTCCCATTATGCTAATCTGATGTTTTGGTATGAAGTGCACAAGATGACGCTAAATTGTTTTTTGATTGATTAGACCAAAGACTTCTGGAGGGAAGCACAGATACTCTCAAATCTTCATCACCCTAACGTTGTTGCATTCTACGGTATAGTCCCTGACGGAACTGGAGGAACCTTGGCAACTGTTACCGAGTTCATGGTGAATGGATCACTCAGGCATGCTCTTCTCAAAAGGGACAGGTAATTTTATTCTTCATCGCTGCAGCATTCTCCTTAGCATCGTATCCGATAGACTAAATCTAGGCACAACGCCAGCGCAGGTTGCTTGACGATCGGAAGAAGATAATAATCGCAATGGATGCTGCTTTTGGTATGGAGTATTTACACTCGAAGAACATCGTCCACTTTGATCTCAAATGCGAGAACTTACTCGTCAATCTAAGGGATCCACAACGGCCTATTTGCAAGGTAAGTAACATATTGATGAAAACAATCTCATTCCCCATTGTTGCTCCAAGAATCTGAAAGCATGAGAGACTGAATTTCTTGCAGGTGGGAGATCTTGGATTATCTAGAATCAAACGTAACACTTTGGTATCCGGTGGAGTAAGAGGAACACTTCCATGGATGGCTCCTGAACTCTTGATCGGAAGCAGCACTCGAGTTTCCGAGAAAGTAAAAGAAAAACAAAACTATTCTAACCAAATATCTATTTTGTCTTCCATTAGAATACACAACTCATATTGCTGGTCTGAACAGGTCGATGTTTTTTCATATGGGATCTCGCTATGGGAGATTCTAACGGGAGAAGAGCCTTATGCAGATATGCACTGTGGAGCAATCATTGGTAAGTCTATAACTTAGTTTTTTTTGTCACTTACCTCAAAGTAGCAGCCACTACTTATCTGTTTTCCTCTTTATAAACACTAAGGTGGGATTGTGAAGAACACGCTTCGACCACCAATACCGAAAACTTGTTCACCGGAGTGGAAGAAGCTGATGGAACAATGCTGGTCCATAGACCCGGATTCACGTCCTCCGTTCACCGAGATAACAAGCCGGCTTCGATCCATGTCAATGGAACTCGTCACTAAAAGCAAGAAAAGAGATAACAAAACCTGATTTTACACAACATCAGAGAAATCAAGAAACGGTTTGGTTCATCGACACTGTCAAAAATCCGCATATATTTATCTCATTCTTCCACTGTGTACAAAAAAAAAAACATATATGTAGAAGTATAATGTCATGTAAATAACATAACGGATGAGAAAACAGTTTTTGCAATTCGCAAAATCTTATTAAAAGAAGAACAATAAAATCTTAGTTTTCTACATATCCTTGTATAAGAGTTGGTACTTTGGTATCCTCTCTTGTGGAATTGGGCAATGAACAATCATCTTCCCTTTCATGGCTCCTCTGAAAATCACCTGTACATATATAAACAGAGGATTTTGAATTCTTAATCTTGAAAAAATAGAGATTGATACAATTGACTGGCTTTTTTTTTTACCTCAACAACATCAATTAAGTCTTGTTTTTCATGGAATTCACCTACCCACTTGGTATGATCAGCAGTTCTGTAAAAATTCACCAAAACCAGAATTTAACTTAAAAAAAAATCAAAGCTTTATTTCTTTTTAATCTGTTCTGGAAGAAGAAGAAGAATAATTTTACCCAGAATCCAATTTCATGTGATGCGCGTTGAAGAAGAAGACAGTCGAAGGTAAGAAAGTGATGTCGAAGTACTTGACGTAAACTTGAACTTCCTCTGAATCAACGTCCACCAAAGCTACCTCAGCGAATTTCGACACATCTCTCGCCGATTTATTAAGCTGAAAAATTCGAAATTAGGGTTTTTGAAATTACAAAACTGAGGGAATTTTGAAAAAAAATGGATTCAAAGAGAGAAAGCAAACTAAATATTACAATGTCATCAAGATGAAGACAATCTTTTTCCCGGCCGAATCGTAACACAAGCACTTTATCGATTGTGTCTCTGATGATTCGATCGATCTCTTCCTTCTTCGTTAGCGTCTTAAGCAGACAATCCATCTCTCTCTCTCTCTCTCTCTCTCTGAATTATTCCGAATTTCTTCTCTTCCTTCTTCGAGTTTATTCATCTTTGCGGCTAATATAGCAAAAGGGCGTTTTCGACATTTTAGATTCTCTGTTTTCTTTTTCTTTTGGGTTAAATCTGAAACGTCAGGTTGCAACGTTTGCTTCTACTTGTGAATGTTTTGGATTTGAGATCCTATTTCACCCTATGATTGTCAAGCGTTGGCATTTGACATTCTATTTTACCCTTTAATTAACCAATATCCTGATACAACGCTTGTTACAACGCATACATATCATTTTCAACATATGAATTTATCCAACTTGGCTGAATAGAATATATAACTTAGGGACATTGTTCAAAAATGAAGAAGTCTCCCTTGCTATCCTATCAGCCAAAACATTACACGATCTCGGCGCAAAAACAACCTTATGTATAGTAATCGTGAAGAGAAGATGATGAATATCCTGATGAACAGTGCTAAGGCAGGGCCATGAACTATCCTCTGAAAGAACATCAATTAAGGCTTTTGAGTCAGATTCAAAGGTAACGTTTTCATACCTTAAGTTACTGATGCAGAGAATAGCCCATCTCAGAGTCTCAGCCTCCACTTCAAGGATGTTATACATTTGAGGTAAACGCCAAACACTCATCCACAGAACCCTGCCATGATGATTTCTGAGAACCCATCCTATTTTCACTATGGTTGTTTTCCTTTGACCAGGCCCCATCAATATTGCACTTGAGCCAGTTCGGTGGAGGTGGAATCCACTTCAAATTTCGGCAAGATGGAGGGTTCGTAGCACCTTTCTTACACACAACATCTTCCTTCCTATTAGCCCATTCATCTGCGTCTTCCCTAATCTTGTTCATCGTGGTTTGAGCATCATAGCCAATTCCTTTAAAAATAAGCTCATTTCTATTTTTCCAAAGTCGCCGCATTAGCCAAGGAGCAGAGAGTCAGACATAATACCATGAGGGGGAGCAGGAACTGGAGAGAGAGCCCATATTAAGCGAGAGCATAAGGGCATTGGAATAGAACATGATTGACGGTTTCCTCTCCAGCTTGACATCTGATACATGAAGAAATCTTTGGATATATGACGGCGCTTTAGATTAGCCGCAACTGAGATGCAGTTACTCAGGCATTTCCAAAGAAAATGATGTATCTTTGGGCTTGCATCCGATTTCTAGATAAGTTGGAACAAAGTGTCAAGACTCGGCTGATTGAGTTCAGAGGGGATTTCTTCCTTGGAAATGATATTCTGAAGAACCCAATAACCTGACTTGACAGAGTACAAGCCTGATCGAGTGAAATCCCAGCAAAGCCAGAGGAGATCTTTTATGTTTTTAGGGACAGTAGAGGCAGTATTACCAGGTGTTTGGATCCATTTCATTTTCTGTAACGGTCTAGCAGGAGAACGTTCAATCCACGGGTCAGACCAGATGTTAATTAAGTTCTCCATTTCCAGGGACAGCTCTGAGACCTCTCCGTAATAATTTACGAGACTTTTTGGTGCATTCTGTCCTTAACATAGCTGAGAATAGAGACTTTAGATCCACCAAAAGACTCTGGTAAACCCAAGTATGTTCCATCTCCACCTTCTTGCATGATCTCGAGCTTTGCTTTTATCTCTTCCCGTTTTTCAACTGGTATATTCTTGCCAAAATAGATGCTTGAGTACTTCTGGTAATTGATCTGTTGGCCTGAGGCAAGGCTATAGAAACCCAGGATGCGAATCAACTGATCAAGCTCCATGTCGTCCCCCTTGCAATAAAACATACTATCATCTGCGAATAGCAGGTGAGAGACAGCTGGGGGCAGACCTTGCAACTATGAGTCCAGTAATCTTTTTATCTCTCTCAGCTTTCATCAAAGACCTTACTAGCATCTCAGTACAGATAATGAAAAGATAAGGTGATAGAGGATCACCTTGACGGATACCTCTAGATGGGATAATTTTGCCATTGATGAGAACCTGATACTTAACTGGTTTGACACAACTCATCAAAAGAAGTATCCACTGAGTATTAAAACCGAGAGTTATAAGGGCATGTTGCAAGAATGACCACTCCACTCGATCAAACGCTGTTAGAGATATCCGTCTTGACAGCTACAAATTCCTCAGAGCATTTGTTATTGGATTTTAAGGCGTGTAGCAACTCATGGGCAACCAGGATGTTGTCAGTTATTAATCTGTCCTTGACGAAAGCCGCCTGCGTATCAGAAACGATGGAGGGCAACGTTTTTTTAAGTCTTCCAGCCAGGACTTTTGCGATAATTATATATGCGACGTTACTGAGGCTGATTGGCCTAAAATCCACCAGTTGATGTCTTCTTCAAGTTGAGGCTGATTGGCCTTCTTTGGTAAGAGACAGATGCTGGTCAAGTTGATGTCTTCCTCAAGAACACCAGTGTTAAAAAATTCCTGAACCATAGTTGTCACTTCTTCCCCAATATGATCCCAAAATTGTTGGAAGAAGAACCCATTCATACCATATGGACCTGGACACTCGGAAGGATTGATATCAAACACGGCCTGCCTAACTTCTTCCTTAGATATTGGTGCAGATAGCAAAGCATTTTGATCATTGGTAATGTGATTGAACCCATCACCAAGATCCCTCACAAAATCCTCCGCATAGCCAATATCCTCAGAACCGAAAATAAGTTTAAAGTAACCTTCAGCAACTTTGCCCAAGTCTTCCGCAGCATATCTTTTAATTCCGGATATCATATTCCTCTGTGAGACCAAAAATCGTAGAAGATACTTAGAGAACGTTGTCGGTCATTTGGGTTACAATGGTCTTTACACTGTTGAACCAATCGGTAAAAGTGGTGGTTTGGCGATTCTATGGAAAGAAGAGGTGCCCATGAAGGTTCTTTATGCTGACAAGAGACTAATAAACTTTGAAGTCACTTGGGAAGATAAGTTTTTCTTCCTTACTTGTGTTTATGGGAACCCTGTGAAAAAGGAGAGAGGCGTGGTTTGCGTTTGTTATGTTTAAGAGAGGAGAAACCGAGGTATGATATGGATTGTGTTTAAAGACTTCTTATTGTGAAGGATTAAAATGTGTTCTTTCGCCAAATGAATAGAAAGTAATCTCCATTTGGGAAGATAAACAATAATCAGGTTCTTTGGACAGTTTTTTACTATTCCTTGGAGAATTTCACAGCCTCAATCACAGCAGAGAAGTCGAGATCTCCAAGCCCCATGCTTCTCGCCTTCTTAAAAGCCTGTCCAAAAAAAGAAGTCTTTTAAGATTCATACCAATCAAGAAGAGAGAACCAATCTGTTTCTTAATGACCCTCTTGAGTTTTAACTAACCTCATTAGCAGCCGCAGCTACAGGCATGGAAACAGCGTTTTCATCACCAAGAGCAAGAGCTAGCCTCATATCCTTCTGCTGATGTTTCAATGGAAACGCTGGTGGGTAATTGCTCTTGTTCATCGACGGTCCTTTGCCCTTGAACATCGGGTTAGTCATTGCACCAAGATCCAGAATATCAAGAAGAGTATCAGAGCTAAGTCCACTCTTGTCAGCCAATACAAGCCCCTCAGAGAACGCATTCATCATGCTTTGTAACAATGGAAACAAAAACAATCAGTGTCATGAAATGCCAAGTTATGTAACTAATAAAAAGAGAACAGACATGTTACACACAAACCTTCCCATTATCATGTTCACTATAAGCTTCATCTTAGCTCCGTTCCCAACTTGCCCCAAGTAAAAAGACTTCTTCCCCAACACATCAAATGCTGGTATCGATTCCTCGAAGAGCGCCTAAATAGAAAAGCAGTATAATATCGATATAGTTCCTATCAATTCCAACTAAGAAAGGTTCTTGAGATCAATTTTACCTTGTCACCAGCAGCAAGTAGGATGAGCTGTCCATCTTCTGCAGGCTTTTTGCTACCTGAAACCGGACCTTCCACGAATCGACCACCTTTCCCGGTAATTGCCTGCCAATTATTACAACACAACATAAACAAAAATGGATTCTTTTCCTTTAATCATCGTCATCTTCATCATTATCTAGAAGAGTTAAACCTCATTGATCTTTAAGGAAGTCTCTGCATCAACTGTAGACATATCTATATAACCTTTTCCTTCACAGATTTGCTCCAAAACACCATCTTTATCGAAAACAACCTATATTAACCAATCAGACCACACAAAAGATTGTAACTTGGCTCGTAATCATTATCAGTTTCTTAAAACACACACAAAAGGAAGAGATTCAAAATTACCGAAAGAGCAGCAGAAGGATCAGAGAGCATAGCGATTGTGTATTTGCATTTCTTGATTACTAAAGCTGGAGTTTCACATACTGAAGCTCCATGCTCCACAAGTTCATCACACTGAGTTTTACTCATCAGATTAAAATGAAATCTTGTGGGATTAATCAGATCTGAACAAATCAAACAAACCATACTCAAAACACAGAACTTTTGTTTACCTTCGAGAGAGTCCTGTTCCACACAGTTACTTTGAATCCATGTTTCAATAGATTCATTGACATGGCCTTTCCCATGATACCCAAACCCAGAAACCCTATCTCCATCTTTCTCTTTCTCTCCACTCTCTCTCTCTCTCTCTCTCTCTCTCTCTCTCTCTCTCTACTCTCTCTCTACTGCGTCTTGAGCAATTGATGAAAAAGGGATGAACCAGACGCAGTTTGAGTTACGTCGTCGTTTTGATAATGTACAGCGTGCAGTTTTTTTTATTTGGATTTAAATAATATGGAAAAAATGGAAATATAAAATGAGCAAGTGCGATGTTTTGTGATGATAAAACCATAATAATAATAAGTGTGAGAAATCATCGATTCTCCTTTGTTTCGCCTAACCCAAATTCCTAAATCTCAGCATCATCATCATCACCCCCAAAATAGAGAGAGAATCGAAGTTTATCATCCGAATCGAATTATTTTGAGACGGAAAAAACGAATCTTGATCAAATTCCTCGACTTTTTTTATTAGCCGATTTGCTTTTGATTTCATTGTACGTTATATTTTTCCCTTTTCTGATCGGAAATCTAGTTGTGATGGATCGGTTGATTTGTATTGTTTGTGTTAAATTTGATAGATATGGTTGTGAGTATTGATGTATTTGCCGCTGATTGTCGTTGAAAATTTTGGAGATTTAGGAAGAAAGTTTGGAAATTTTTAGGGTAATTGATCAATAAAGAATCTGGCTTTGGATTTATATTCAACTTTGGATTTGTGTGCTTTCTCTTTTCCATGGTTGTTGTCTTCAACTTTGGGAATTTAAGTTGATAGTTTCTAATATAAGCCAAACTCTTAAATGGTTTTGGCATTGAATACATAGAATTTGGTATTTTAGTGGATGATTACACTAGTTGCTCGATTACTAATTTGATAATGGTTTGGATGATATGTGTGGATCTAAGTTGTGTTGATGAATAATGGGTTTTGGTCATTTTTAATAAATTTGATCTCTTTTTGGGATGTCAATGCAGGTTTTAAGGACATTTGGGTTGCTTGTTTGGTGGTTGCATTTGGTCAGCGATTTAACAAAGTGATCTTGAAGTTAAGAGTTTAGCAGCGCTCAAAGAGTAAGAAAGTAGATTCTCAACAGGCTGCTTAATAAGATTGCTCTCTTTCGGTAAGTTTATTTCCAGCTAGCTATCTCTCTTGGTGAAGTTGTAAAACAATTTGTTTCTTCTTCTGATGTGTAAAGATTCTTCTGGTATGCTAAGTTTTTTGTTTTCCTAGTTTCAAGACCATGAGTTAGTAGGAAGATATCTATTTTCTTCTGTTTTTGGTGATGTATACTCATAAGAATTATATTTGGTGTCTAATCTTGTTCTTGCTGCTACATGATTGATTTTCTTTGCGATTAGCCCCTTTTTATGACTAAACAAAAAGTAATTTTTATAAAACATGGTTTTAGTGTTTCTAACTTTATGCGTGAGTAGCTTACACAGTGCTTTTACAAGATGGCTGGTGTAAAGCGAAAACTAAGTACCGAGTCAGATGCTCATGCTCTTCACAAAGAACTGGATGAGGTTTCATGTCCTGTTTGCATGGATCACCCACATAATGCTGTTCTACTGCTGTGCAGCTCTCACGACAAAGGTTGCAGGTCATACATCTGTGACACAAGTTACCGACACTCTAACTGCCTCGACAGGTTCAAGAAACTACATTCCGAATCTCCAAATGATCCAAATCCCGAGGCTAACAATAACGAGCATGTGTCTGGAAACCAAGTCTCTGTTGGGGATTCTGAGTCTCTGAGGAGGAGGAGGAGAGTGGAAGAAGTAGTAGAAGAAGAAGAACAGTCAGAGGAAATTACGAACCTGAAATGTCCTCTTTGCCGAGGTACTGTCTTAGGGTGGAAAGTTGTAGAAGAAGTGAGAAGTTATCTTGACATGAAGAACCGAAGCTGTTCACGAGAGTCCTGCTCGTTTACCGGTAACTACCAGGATCTGCGACGACATGCGAGAAGGATACATCCAACAACTCGTCCTTCAGACACTGATCCAACAAGAGAGTTAGCTTGGAGACGCCTCGAGAGCCAGAGGGAGTATGGAGATATAGTCAGTGCAATACGTTCTGCTATGCCTGGTGCTGTTGTTGTAGGAGACTATGTTATAGAAAACGGAGATAGATTCTCAGGTGAGAGGGAATCTGGAAATGGAGGAGGTAGCGACCTTTGGACTACGTTTGTATTGTTTCAGATGATTGGTTCTCTTGAAAACAATGGAGGTTCTAGTGGTAGTGGAAGTGGTGGTGGTGGTGGATCAAGAACTCACAGGTCAAGGGCATGGAGGAATAATCATCATCGACGTTCATCTTCTTCAGATAGGCGATTGCTTTGGGGAGAGAATCTTTTGGGTTTGCAAGATGAACATAATCACAATGATCATGATGATGAGTTGCGTGTACATGAAGGTACAGGGGATGGTTTGAATCGAGTTCCAAGAAGAAGAAGAAGGTTTGGAAGGCCTAGATCAAGTGGAAACCATCCTCGATAAGACCGGTAAAATTCGATTTTTTATGGCTTGTAGGAAGAAGAAACATTTTTGATTACTGAAGAAAACTGGTTTTGTGTTTAGGTGCTATATCGATATTCTCTCGGGTTAGAACCAGACCGATGCAAAAAGGAAAGGTTTTTGCTGAAATCCCCCGAGAGGCTTAGGATTTGTTGGTGTTTTTTTTTATGTAAATGTTATTTTGTTGAGCTTCGTTTAGTCGCTCATTGTATTTTAAAGTATGGTTTTTTATGCAATGTCTTATATTAATTGTTACATTTGGAAAAGTGTTTTCTTTTTCTTTTGGTTGTTATGAAGTTTCTTATTTAGAAGTTGGGTTCATAGAATTATGGTGTTTATATCCATAATCGAGAAGTACATCGAAATTATGGTATAATTTTGCAATAAATAGGCAATATAACCTCTTTTACAACACTTAATTACTGCTAATTTGTTAGGCAAGCAAAACAAAACAAATTGGAGTTGTTTTTTAACATTGACGTCAAGAACACAAAGATGACACATATTGGACAGACCCTGGCCAGAACAAGAAGATATCATAATTGTTACTTGGGACCAGTGGCTGGTACTGTAGTTGAAGTATGTCCAAAGGTTGAGATATGGCCACGTCACTTGTAAATGCACATGCGGGCATGAACCATAACACGTTCGATCTCGCAGAATTCAGGCGACGGCATTAGAATTTAATTTGATACCGAAAGCTATAGACTATAGCACCTCCCCACACAGAATTATACTCCAATAACCAAAGCCATGCACAGTTGTCCGGAAATTAGAAACCTCTAGAACCATCTCCAAGAGTGTCCCTTAAATTATTAAGTATAATCAGTGGCCTAAACCTCATGCTTTATGTGCTTTATATAAGACCGGCCCTGCCTAAACCTTTTAAATTTAAAGTTTAGCAAAATTTCAAATATCAAATATCCATGTCAAATAGCCAAGTTTAAAATGTGTTTTTGTGATCAATCATAAGTATGGACTTGAAGGTAGATTGTACTAATTCATAATAGACTAATCTCTCTTCTAACTCATCCGCCATCGGATAGAAGTCGGTGTTTTTCCCTTTTGAGGTCTAAAACCTCCAAGATTTGTTGCGTTTCAGTTTCATTTCATGTTCCACGGGGACTTTTTGTGTAGCCCATTTCTAGGTATGGTATCAAGCATATAGATTAATATAGCTTAACATTAAAAGCAATTAAAACAAAAAGTATGCACTTAACTTTCAAATGATGCATCTTATAAACAGAAACTTGAATCACATTGAATAGGGGATCTCAACTTATCATATTTCTATCTATTGGATTGTTTTGTTATAAGATGTTTTTTTAGTTCTTTGAGTTATCAATCAGTTTAATGGATTCTTTAGTAATAATATCTTACTCAAAATGTTCCATGTGGCTCCTGCATGTTCTCGTCCCCTGCACAATATAGTATCCGGTCGTTTTGTTAATAATTGCTCAACCCTGTAAACATGACTAATCTTGTTTCGAAAAGAACTACGAAAATTGGGATTAGTAACTCTGTTTGTTTAGTTTGTTACTTTTGCAAAATTCTTTTTCTTGGTTAAAAAGTAAGTTCTATTTTTATGTTTGTTTTCTGAAAAAAAATTTGGCTTGTATGATTGTATCTCTCGTGACCTATTCGGGATAAATATTTCCCATGTATTATTCAGCTCTACGCTATTACCAACGCGGCGTTACTAATTTTATGTAACACTAATTAGTTAGAATATGTGTTTGAGATTAAAATCTTACAATTAGCGTTTATACATGAACATCAAATCTCCTTTAATCATATTGTTCACTATTTCGAATTAGGTAACTTGAGTAACAACTAGTAGCAAGGTGAACATACATACACGTGTACTCATGCTTTAAAATGGTCTAAAATATTCTAACTTCCCGGAAAATTTATTGAGAGACCCCATGAAATTTAATGACATGACTTGCAAGTGTGTGGCAACAAGTAATGGCAACAAAGCCTTGAAGCTAAGTGACATCCTTTTAGTACATCTAAAGAGAAGAATGTGCATCTACAAAACCCCACTTTGATACAAGGTCACGTTGTGTTTCCTTATACACCCCAAATTAGATTGAGTCAAACAAATTATTTAAACACTTGAATCTTTTTGTTTTCCCAAGTCATCTCTTGTCTTCATCTTCTGATCCAAAGTCTCTAATCATTTGTGAGCGCGAATAATCTCACAAACTCTATTTTATAATATACCCATAAAGCATCTTCAGCCAGAACATGGAGGTTAGTCAGAGTCACATGTGTTATGTATCATTCAAATGTGTCTATAACAAAAATGCAGCATATTTATAAGAGATTGAACTTTTGGGTTTTGACCAGATCTTTCAATGGCTCTTCAAGTTAGGAAAGGCACCAGAGAGATCAGAGTCCTGTTCAATCAGTTGTACTGATCATGAACCCACCACAACTTTACAAAGTAAGTAACAAAACATTTCTTGATCATTAGATCACAATGTACAACACTAGATGGTTAACTTTTCAAAAGATCTTGCACATATTACATTTTTATTATTATTAGATAAGTTAACTTTTAGGTATATATCTTTTGAGTTCAAATATATTTCATAATCTTATATATCTTGTAATTAACGTGATCCATGTCCTGCAGATCGCAGAACAAGAAGATCATCAACAAGAGGGTCTAAACATAGAGAACAAAAGAAATACAGAGGAATCTGGTTATGGTGTAGAAAAGATGTAGCTGAAGCTTGTTTCTATAGCACATTGACTCTAAAAAGACTTATCAGCTATAGGAAAGAACAGTATCTTCGCTCCATGGCAAAGTCAAAGGAGAAAGGAGGAAGAGGAGAAGAAGAAGAAGTGATATCAACAAGATTTGATCCTAAAAAGACTATCAAAGTCGTTGAACCAGAGAAACATGACACAAGTAGTAAAGAGAAGGAAAAAAGCGAGCAGGGCAAAGCTAAGGCCACACTTTTAAGGATGAAGGAGCTTATTAGATGGGCTGCGGCAGCCAAATCCGACAAAGCTGTCAAATTCTTTACCCCTAAGGTCTGTTCATAAAACCCTTTAGAATTACTCAAATGGATTAGTAAACCAATTTTATTGATGAAACATATAGATTTGCAGATAATGGAGTCAAGAAACCAAAGAAAGTTGAAGATGATGAGAGAAGTGAATGAAGAATCAAAAAGGATGAGTTGTGAATCTGCAAAGATAAGTTTGAGATATGAGAGTTGTGAGAGTTGCACAACACTCTCTTCCTCTGATCACATCTCCATAGTTTCTTCACCATCAATCTTCGTTTCCTTGGGTCCTACGCCACTATATCCATGTCGATCCAGGAAAGGCAACTGGATCACTACTGATTCTGAATGTAAGATCATTTATAATTTTGTTTTTGTTTTTTGAATTTTCCCGTACCTATAACTTTCCTTTTAAAAATCAGTAATTTTTTGGTATTTAAAACAATTAATTATCTTGAAAATCTGATTCGCAATAATGAATTATTCCAATAAATTAATGATGCTCTCAAGTGCTTATAAAATTTATGTTCTTTGTGACTGTTTATTTTGTATTTAATAGTCTCGTTTCTTTTATATATTTTGCAGTTGTGGTGTTAGAGTTATGAAGAGAAGAAGATGTGGATGACGACAATGATAAGTACAACCAATTGATTCTCGTTCGGTAAACAAATTTTGAAAGATTTTATTTGAGTAATTAATATATAACCATTGTTTTCATGATTTCAATTTTCTTTTGTATTTTATGTAATTCATATAAGAAAAATTATCTGACAAAAGTTACGTTTCTTGTTTTCCCTCTAAAGTTTAACATGGTATATCGAATTAGCTAGATGGCCATCGGTAAAATGGTTTAATGTTACATCTATACATACACCATACCAAATATGGGCCATTAATAAAATGGTTTATTGTGTTATTATGATTTTCACACCAAGCAGAATCGTGATAATCATAATTCCATAGGCAGAAAATTACTAAAATATGTCAAGCCAAATTTCTTCCTAAGTTTTTGTCGATGCTCTTTTGTTATTTCATGATAACATTTTTTAAATTTATTTCCCTTGAATAAAATACTCAATTGTCATTTTCTAAATCAAGTCATCACATTGGATGTGAGATCCTAGAGTATAAACCTCTAAACATTGATGTATTTTGCCTTCTCCTTCAACCACCTCGTGGAATAAAATCTTCAACCAACTCCACTGGGAGCGTGGAAGTTGCCATGTATTATCTTTGTTCCAACTCAATCTATGCACTTTATTTATTTTTTTTTTAAAACGTTTTGCATTGTGGAAAATGTATTGAAAGAAATTATTTATATTGCAAGAAGATATGTGTGTGAAATGTTATTCGTGGAGCTCTTCATCATAATTGCAACTGCAGATAAGTGAATTTGATCGACTGATCATCATTTCATTTAAATTTGATTATAGCATGTTACCTTTGATAATGATGTAAGAGTAAAAAAAGAAGAAGCAATGTCACGTATATATAGATTAAACTTACATATTCGAACGAATTAAATAAAAAATTTAAAACGTCAAAAACGAAACACAGTTGTTGTTTAAAAACGAAACGAATATATTTTGCATTTTTTTAGAAAACCAAGAAATTCATTGTATTTTTAGATTGTAAGATTGTATTTCTAACTTACAAAATACAAAACCATTGTATGTTGGCTTCGGCCGTTCGGCTTAGTGTCATTAGTTTGTGAAAATATTTTTGCATTGTTAAAATGTGGTGTTTTAAAATAACAACTTAATTGTTTCATTGTAACAAAAAAGGTCAATCGCAAATTAAAAGTTCAAACTAAGGTATTTATCCACACACAAAAAAAAAAATTTAAACTACAGGTAAGATGTTTTTAACTTGTAAGAAAACAAATGTCTACACATTATTTTTTATTTCTTTTTGCAAAATTTCAAAAGAAAAACAAACACAAAAAGTCGAACAAAAAAAAAACAAATTATTTAAATAATCTATTGTTAAAATTCTCCAAAAAACACGCGAATTTCCCGTCACACGTTCTCCATCGCTGCACTTTTCACTCATCTCCCTCGAAGAGAGACTCTCTCTGTCTTCTTCTTCTTCTTCAGAAAATCAAAGAGAAAAGCATCAAAGCTCAGAAAATGTCAGATACAAATCCTGAATCTTCAAGCTTCAATGCTCTAAACATCGACGTCACCGAATCAATCCTCTCTCGCCTCCCAATCCCTTCTCTCGTCCGTTTCTCCTCCGTCTCAAAGCTATGGCGATCAATCATCACTTCCCTTCCTCCTTCCTCTTCTTCCTCCTCTTCTCCATGGCTCTTCCTCTTCGGTATCCACAACACCTCCTCCTTTCACAACCAATCCTTCGCCTTCGACCCTCTCTCCGACTCTTGGCTCCGTCTTCCCTCCGCCTCTTTCCCTTCCGTCCACCTCGTCGGCTCCGATCGATTCCTCTTCACCACCGCTCCTCGATTCGCCTTCTCTCCAATTCTCAAACCTCGTTGGCGTCTCACTTCCCCTGTTCGATTTCCCCGTATTAGCCCTCTTTTGGCCGTTTTCTCGACTCGCTCCGGCTCCTCTAAGCTAATCCTCGTCGGCGGAGTTGGATCCATCGGCGGATTAGTCGACATCGATGATCGATTAGCCGTTCAGGTCTACGACCCAGCTCTCGATTCATGGGAGCTTTGTCCTCCACTCCCCGCCGATTTCAGATCCAACGCTCACGAAACCCTAAGCTCCGCTTTGTGGAAGAGGAAATTCTACGTATTCGATATCAATTCGTGCTTCGTCTCTTCCTTTTGCTTGGATACTTACACATGGAGCGATGTTCAGACGCTTAGACCACCAGGTCTCTCTTTTGCTTTCCTTAATTCGTGTGATGGTATGCTTGTTCTTGGTGGGATGTGTAATTCTTCGTTTAATCTCTGGAGAATTGAAGAAGGCTCGATGGAGTTCAGCGAAATCGCGATCATGCCTGAGGAATTGTTGTCTGGGTTAGTTGATAATGAGGATGAGGAAGATAGAGATAAGTTTAGGACTTTGAAATGTGTTGGCTCTGGGAATCTTATCTATGTGTTCAATGAAGATTGCCATAAAAAGTATCCAGCTTGTATCTGTGAGATTGGTGTTGAGAAAGGAAAGTGTAGATGGAGAAAAGTTCCTCATTTGCCTTCCCCTGTCAACAAGTTTCATAAACTCGTTAGTTTCTGCTCGGCTGTGTCGATCACCGATGTTTTCCACTCCGATGAGACTCGGATTGGTTCGATCCACCATTGATTCTGCCTGCTTATGCCACTGGTATGATGATTCATCCACGCTCAGTCTCTTACAACTTCATTTGTTTGTATAGCTTTCACTGGTAACTAGATGAAAATGTCATTGACATTGTGTCTTGCTCAGGCTTTGTTTGTTGTTTTGGTGATGGTTTATACTTTGAAACACGTTCTGTTTTTACCTTCTCTATTGGGCTTAGGAAGAGATTCAGAAACCCATTACATATGAATCTTTGTGCTTCAGGTTAGCTTTTTAGAATCCAGTACTAATAGTAGTAATCTTACCATCCATGGGATACGAGCCGATAGATATAAGTGATTATATGTTGACAATATCTTGGTTCAAAAGCTTGTAGCTAACTTAGGGTTCTTGTTGCTTTTTCCATTGATGTATTAGATGATCAAAGATATTTACCACAGATTGGTAATCGTTATAGTGACGCTTGGTAGGAGAGTTTTCACTGGTGATTAGAGATGAAAATGTCATTTGACATTGTGTCTTGTTCAGGCTTTGTTTCTGGTGATGGTAATTTTTTGAAACACGTTTTGTTTTTAACTAATCTAGGGCTTTCAAAGAGATTCAGAAACCCATCACATTTGAATCTTTTAAAAATCCAGTAACTATCTTACCATCCATGGAATTTGAGCCGATAGATATAAGTGGTTGTGTGGTGACAATCTCTTAGCTAATTTAGGGTTCTTGTTGCTTCGACCATTAATGTATTGGTACAGTTTCTGTGTTATATTGACTAATAGGCTTTGCTTCTTATAACTTGGCAGTGATAATGTAAAGTGGAGATGAAAGGAGAAGATGAATAATGGAAAGCGTATACAGATGGTTATCGATTTATCATGGTAATCATTATAGTATGTAATTAGGTGATAATTGTTGAAAACTGATTTGTAAGTCTTGGTTTATATGTTGTTATATCTTAATTCTTGTTTCTACTGTCGATTCCATATATGTGTATGTATGCCAGTGACTTAGTAGAACATCTATACGTCAATTGTATATTTATATTGCTTCAAACTCTTAATGCCTTTTCTGTTTTCAAGAATCTTTGGAGTTTCTATATTAATAATGTATTTACAAGGGGTGCTACTTTCTTATAGAATTCTAATTGATGTATTAAAATTCACATATTTTGATCTTCATCTGTTGGGAGAAGCAGCTAGTTTAATCGACAGAGAAAGTGGCAAAGCGAAGAAGATGATATGATAATACTAAATTAAAGAAATTAAAGGGTCTCGATTAAGCTATAATCTTTTGGCATAGCGTGCAAACAATAATTTGGTATGATTATAGTTAATACTAAACTTAAACATTGAGGACGAATTTTATTCTGGACATTTCTGGTTGCTTATAAATTTAATACTCATCAACGTTGCTACCTCTTGGCCGGAGAGCACTACTAATGTCCACGACCACGAGGAGGTCTTCGAACTCTTTTGCAGTGTTTGTTCATTAGTCCCGTAACTTGACTTCTCCTAGGAGAAGCTCCACATGGTGGGGATGGTTCTGCTAGTATCCGATCCTCACCTTTTAACACACATGATGAGTCAATAATATGTTAAAAGAAAGAAAAAATCACCGGAGATATTATTGATGTTTTAGCCTAGGAAAAAGTGAACAATAGTCAATAGTTAAATAATTTTTTTAGCTGTATATATAAAAACCTTAAACATCATCTATTCTAAAATGGAGAAAGTGTTATTTATCCCGGGTTTATGTCTATAATTTATTCTATTTTTCATTTTAAAAAAAAAAAAAAATTGGAGACCGGATTAGGTTTAATTTGTTATAACACATATCATATATGGACTCTTATACCGGCCTATTAGGCCCATCAGGGCATTGTACTTAACCTAGATTCTCTATGTACTCTATATATACATTCCAGTGATTAATAAAGTTTCTAAGTTTTCACAACATGTTATCAGCACGATAAGACTCTCTGAGCGAAAAACCCTAATAAATCCGGCCACCACCAAAACCCTAAAAGCAAGTCGAAACTTAAAAGACGCATATCTTCCAAACCGTGAGGAACCAGAAGACGATCTACATATCAAATCGAAGCTCTCGACGAGACGAATCTACTGGTGAAAACCGTTTGTCGATCCAACGTCGGACGCGCCCTCACGCACACTTACAGTACACGACGATCAACCGAAAAAAAAAAAACCAGATCCGAGTTTTTCCTTCTTCAACCAGCAGCTTCTCCAGTTTTGGTGATCAATCCTTGGAATTTGTAGCGGCTAACTGAGGTCTATTAGGTCCCAGTTTCATTAGCCTGTCAGAAATCCAAAGGTGGAAAAGGTATCTTCTAAAACTGAGAGCCATAGAACCTGTTGTTTAAACACTTCAAAACCCTATAAAAAAAAAAAAAAAAAAAAAAAAAAAAATCGATCTCTAATTGATTGAAAGTGTTTGATACTCTGATGATTGATTGATAACTTGTTGATTGATTGTTTAAATTACAAGTTTATGCATGTTCAAAGGTTTTAAACTCGTTTTATAAAACCCTAATCTACAAAAACCTAACAACCGTTTTTGGCCATGTTTATGGCATAAACCTATTCGTTTTTCTTCATGTTTAATAAGCTTGTTGCAGCTTATTTGATTGTTGATTCTCTTGCTTGAAACACTTGATTGAATAAACTAAGAAAATCAACCCTAAATCCTAAACTTGATTCACGATTTTGTAATCTTCAAAATCGTAAGTCATAATGCTTAAACCCTAGTCCTTTTCACGTGATTTCTTTGTTGTCCTTGTGAAATTATTAAAACCATCGACCACAGATCTTATAGATCTCGAAATCACATCCAAAATATGTTTTCCAAACCGTTAAAACCCTAGATAAAACCCTAATCATATTCGGCTCCCCTAGGGTTCCTCCTAAACCGCCTAAAACCGGCTAAACCTGGTTCTCATTAACCGAAATTATATTCGGCTAACCTGGAAGGTGACGACCTCCTTGATGATGAGAACACCACAAACGAGCAGACCGACCCCATGGACTATGAAACAGCTGATCTCCTCGATTAATTCAATCATCTGAAACTCTGATACAATTTGATTTTGTTCTTTATTTTTTTCATTTTGGGATTTGTTTCATTTTTTTTTCCATTTGCCTTTATTCTCAGACACTGCTTTACTTTATGATTTATCACATTTTCTGAATTCCTCAATACTGAATTCTATCTTCTATTCATAATGAAGCACACCAGCAAATGGAAACCATAGTCGTAGATAGTGGATCCAACCACACTATCTTAAGAAACAAAAGTTACTTCATAAACCTAACCTATCAAACCGCAAATATTAGCACCATCGCGGGTCCCTCAAACCTTATCGAAGGATATGGCCATGCCTATGTGTTGCTATCAAATGGCACACAACTTGAAATACCAGATGCTCTATATTCTCCTAGTTCGAAGAGAAATCTTCTGAGCTTCAAGGATATAAGACAGAATGGTTTCCACATAGAAACCCAAGGTCAAGGGAACAAAGAATCCCTCCTAGTCACTAAAACCGTAGACGGCCATAAACAAATCCTCGAACCATACCCGCGCTCTCTACTGGACTTTACCATGCTAAAGTCAGTATGATTGAAGCTAATACCACTCTCAAAGCCCGGTTTACTGATTATACTATTTGGCACGACCGGCTCGGTCATCCCGGTGCAAATATGATGCGTAAACTAATTCAAAACTCTCAAGGGCATACCCTCAAAGAAAACCGAGCTTATCCTCAACACCTCATGTGCACAGCTTGTTCTCAAGGCAAATTGATCACTCGGCCTTCACCAGTTAAAATCTCTAAACAAACACTTCATTTCCTAGAAAGAATCCAGGGCGATATCTGTGGACCTATACATCCATCTTCCGGACCATTCCGGTACTTCATGGTCCTTATAGACGCATCGACCCGTTGGTCATATGTTTGTCTCTTGTCCTCTCGGAACCAAGCCTTCGCTAGGTTCTTGGCCCAAATCATAAAATTGCGGGCCCATTTCCCTGACTTCCCACTAAAGACTATCCGCCTTGACAATGCTGGTGAATTTACCTCACAAGCGTTTAATGACTACTGTATGGCCATGGGGGTAACCGTGGAACATCCTGTAGCACATGTCCATACTCAAAATGGATTGGCTGAATCATTCATTAAACGCATTCAATGGATAGCCCGACCATTACTCATGAGATCAAAGCTCTCGGCCTCAGCATGGGGACATGCAGTATTACATGCTGCTGAACTCATACGCATCCGGCCATCTAGTGAACACAAATATTCCCCATCTCAACTACTCTCGGGTCATGAGCCAGACATCTCCCATCTCAAAACATTTGGGTGTTCAGTATATGTACCCATTGCTCCACCACATCGAACCAAAATGGGACCTCAAAGAAGGATGGGAATATATGTTGGTTTTGACTCTCCCACCATCATAAGATATCTCGAGCCAACCACTGGAGATCTCTTCAAGGCCAGATATGCGGATTGCCAATTCGATGAATCGGTATATCCCTCTTTAGGTGGTGAGACAAACAAGCTGGTCAAAGATCTTTCATGGAATCAAACATCATTAAATTGGCAAGATCCTCGGACTCTAGAATGTGATTCAGAGATCCAAAAGATTATTCATTATCAAAAGCTAGCTAATCAATTGCCAGATTCCTTTGCTGACCCGACCAAAGTAACCAAATCGTACATCCCAGCTTGTAATGCACCAGTACGAATAGCTGTCCCAACGGGACAGACCCAAGTTGCTACAGAGTCTGCACCACGTCTCAAACGGGGCAGACCTCTCGGTTCCAAAGATAAGAATCCCCGGAAATCAAAGAAAGGTGCAATAACCGAAACCGGGATTCCTGCAATATCAGACATAGCCGCGGCTGAGACTCAATCTAATGAACCCTCAATGGAAGTTTGGGACGCCGAATCTCCAGGTTCAGAAGATAACAATGAGATCTCCATCAATTACAATATGTCCGGAATACAATGGAATCGAAAAGAAGTCGACTTAAATGCACTCTTTGCATACAAAGTAGCACTTGATGTTGCGCTCACGCAAGAGGATCTAGAACCCACGTCAATAACACAGTGTACACATCGAACAGATTGGCTAAAATGGAAAGAAGCCATAAACGTGGAGTTAAAGAGTCTCAAACTCAGAAACGTGTTCGGTCCGATCATCCGGACCCCATCACACATCAAGCCAGTGGGCCACAAATGGGTCTTTGTGCGCAAAAGGAACGAACTCGGTGAAGTCGTTCGATACAAAGCACGGCTTGTAGCACAAGGATTCTCACAGAGACCCGGAATCGATTATGAGGAGACTTATTCTCCAGTGGTGGATGCAACAACATTCCGATTCCTCATAAGTCTGGCCATAAGAGAAAATCTTGATCTGCGGTTAATGGATGTTGTAACCGCATATCTCTATGGGCCCCTGGACAACGAAATATATATGAGACTCCCAGATGGCATTGAACTAAAAGACAAAAATGCATCTCGAGATCAATACTGCATCAGGCTGAACAAATCCTTGTATGAACTGAAACAAAGCGGGCGTATGTGGTACAACCGCCTCAGCGATTACCTCATCAAAGAAGGCTACAAAAATGACCCCATCAGTCCATGCATCTTCATCAAGAAGTACTCAAACAAAGGATTTGTAATCATAGCAGTATACGTGGATGATCTAAACATCCTCGGAACATCTGGTGAGATCTCCCAAACAGTCGACTGCTTAAAAGCAGAATTCGAAATGAAAGACCTAGGCAAAATAAAGTACTGTTTGGGATTACAACTTGAGTGCATCAAAGGAGGAATCCTTGTGCATCAATCGTCTTATATCGAAAAGGTACTCAAGCGATTTAATATGGACCAAGCTCACCCATTGACCAGCCCAATGGTAGTTAGAAGCTTAAGTGATGACCCTCTTGGTCCCAAAAAGGATGATGAAGAAATCCTTGGTCCTGAAAAGCCATACCTCAGTGCTGTAGGAGCGTTAATGTACCTGGCTAGTCACACTAGACCAGACATATGTTTCGCCGTGAACCTCCTCGCTCGATATAGTTCATCTCCAACTCAGAGGCACTGGAACGGTATAAAACATCTCCTAAGATACCTTCGAGGTACTCAAGACTTAGGACTCTTCTATACTAACCAAAATAAAGATGGGTTAGTCGGCTTCGCCGATGCAGGATATCTATCAGATCCGCACACTGCCAAGTCTCAAACTGGCTACGTTTTTACGCATGGAGGAACAGCCATCTCTTGGAGATCAATGAAGCAGACACTCACTGCCACTTCATCAAACCATGCTGAAATCCTAGCCATTCATGAGGCTAGTAGGAAATGCGTCTGGCTGCGCTCCATGACTCAGCACATCCGCAGAGATTGTGGTATGGACGAAGACACACAGCCCACGGTGATGTATGAAGACAACGCGGCATGCATAGCTCAGCTCAAGGAAGGATATATCAAAGGAGATCGGACGAAGCACATTCTACCGAAGTTCTTCTCAACCTCAGACTGGCAGAAGGACGGCACTCTCAGCGTTCAGCAGGTCCGATCCAGTGAGAATTCAGCTGACCTCTTCACCAAATCATTGCCTACTTCAACACACCGGAAGCTCGTCAAACAGATAGGAATGTATAGACTTAGAGATCTGCAGTGATGCTACAATCAGGGGGAGTAATGCGTGTTGTACTCTTTTTCCTTCACCATGGTTTTGTCCCACTGGGTTTTTCCTGGTAAGGTTTTAATGAGGCAACATTCCCCAGCGCATTATCGAGATCCCGATTGAGTAGCTGACCCGGTTCACTCGTCCAAGGGGGAGTGTTATAACACATATCATATATGGACTCTTATACCGGCCCATTAGGCCCATCAGAGCATTGTACTTAACCTAGATTCCCTATGTACTCTATATATACATTCCAGTGATTAATAAAGTTTTTAAGTTTTCACAACATAATTCATATTTTCTTCTGTGTAATTATTCGAATTCAGGACTTCACCTTCTCCACCTTTTATCAAAACCGAACCGAATTGAAATAGAATAATTACTCATTTGCTATCTTCTAAAGAGACGATTATGGTATCTTGCATAATTATTTGTTCTAGTGAATATGATTTTCAAGCATGGAGATTGAATTCACATACTTTATTATCAAACTAGTATAGTTATGATTTCTGGTTGAAATAAAAAAATCAGAGTATTCAAACCGAACCAAACCAAAATACATATGGTTCAATATAATATTTTTACGAACCAAAAAACCGAATTGAACAGCCCACCGGTTGAGCTACCAACACCGGGTATAATCCATTTTTTATGACTAAGATTGTGTAAATTACAAAGTTTTATTGTGATACTGATAGAATTTCGAAATAAGAAGAGACTGACCTAGGTGGCGGAATCTAGCCTCGGTGACACGAACCTGAAAGGACAGACCTAGTATAAGAACCAAACTTAGAAGAAGAAAGGCTTGTGTTGTTTTCTTCATTATCAGTTTGTTCCTCTCTCACATGTCATCGACCAGTAGTGTATATATAGATTGAAGCAAACAAAAGAAATGTATAGTGAATTAAATAAATTTGAAGTGTCAAACTTCGTCGCCTTCTTTCTTTTCTACAAAAACGCGGTTTTTGTGGAAAAAGATTGTAGCAACTTCTCTGATTCTAAATAAACAAATAAAAATTTTACGAAACATTACATTTTACGAACCTGGCTAGGTAACTACCGATGCAAGACTTTTCGAGGTTTCGATGTATATTCTATAGTATTAAGTGACAAATAAAAAATTAATAACCACTTTTCATTTTTAATTAATTTCAATTTATGTCAAAGTTCTTTGGCTACAGATTAGTCATTTTGATTCCGCTATTCTTTTTAGTGGTGAAAACATATGGCTAAAGAAAATTGCATATTGAAACGAACTAGTTTAATTTTTCTTGGGATATATATAAAACGCGAATGGTCATGCAAGTGCAACAACATGTGCTTCCAACACTATATAACATATATATCGATATTTATTTTTTTTCACGATTTGTGGTCTAAGTTTTTAATTTAAAAGTTTCCTACAAGATTATAATTAACCAATCACGCAAAGCTTTACACAAAAATAAAGAGTTAAAGGGCAAAAATAAAAAGTTGTTCATTATTTCAATCCAGTATTCATACATTTGCTTATGAATTTATGATTTCCAAAATGTGTGTTTATGCGAAGAAAAAATGGCATTATCTTCAAACCTTATCGCAAACACGATAATATTTAACCGTGCTTTTTATTTTTATATTTTTTTCTATATCTATGATTCATAAATATTCATGTTACCATGTAACTTCACAGAAAAATTAGAATAGAAACTTCATGTCACTTCAACTCCAGCATTATTATCAATCTAACTTGAGTTTGTTTTTTTAACACGGCATTTAAAGAAATTTTTTGATTAAGCATCACTTTCAAGAATAAAGCCAAGACTCCATAATCTAGAGAAAAATATTGTTGCAAACTTTTCTCATTTTTATTTTAAGTTTTTCATGAACAATTTACTTTCTGTTTCACATCACATGCCATCATTGTAAAATAATTGTCATGAAATCGTTTTGGTTTGTTTTGGTTGGAGTTTAGTGGAGGCCTACGGTCCCCCATAATTTCCCTAACATTTTTTCAATTTGACTGGCGAAAGCTACACTACAAAGCTTATTTAATTTGTCCTTTTATTGACGACCAAAAAGAAAGAAAGTCATTTAGTGGAGATATATATTATATATACATATATATATATATATTTGCTCATTTTATTCCTATGTCTCCTCCTTAATAGTTCCAAAATTAAGAAAAAAAAGTGCTTAATATTAATCCGTTGGTGGTATATATAGTATAAATCTCTTATTGTAAGCCACTTGGAGATTTTCGAGTGTAGACGGTTTTTTCAAAGAGTCAAACCCAACAAAGTTAAAGTGAAAAATGGGTGGACAGAAAAAGAAAATTAAATACTTTTAAAATTAATGGAAGATCCATTGCATTGTGAAAATACATAGGCATAAAAGTAAAAAAAAAAAAGTAAATGAAGAAAAAAAGTTAAAGATAAAAAGCTTGTCTAAAAATGGGAGATCGCGGTATGGGACCAATCTTTAAGCTCTCCATGCCTTTCGCTAAATGTTGAAGCAAATTATGACTTATCGATATCACCCATTTGGTGACTTCCATACAAACAACCTTTTCATTTATAAACTTCCACGCACGCTTGCATAGATCTATATATACATGTTTTTTAACTTTATATACTAATGTATAGTTATGTCTAATTCATTACAATTAGTTATAGTTCGAATAATTGCATCTGCAAGTTTACACCATCTGAAAACAATGAAACTCGTGTCTCTTATTTGCTTTCATCGAAAGGATCATCAAAAGTCTCTGCGCATACCTCGCTTCGACTTAATTAATACCATTTAGTTTTCGTATTTTTCCTGTACAATAAATAAAATAAAATCAGTTAGCATTTCTTATATACTTGAAAGGATATAGTATCGCATCCAACACTACTTATATAAACACAAACCAATTTTTTTTTTGAATGAATGTAAAATTTTATTCAATCAAAACTGCTTTACATCAAGTGTTTCATGATTTTAATTTTTTAAAAGAAAGCATACATTAATTTCTAGTGCTGAACCAGTAAACTAGAGCATTCTCAAACTCTTTTCCTTGGAGTCTGATGGTGCTGAGACGGTTTCGAATGGCCTTGTCAAGAGTTTTGATAACTCTTAACGGTGGAGAAGACTCTTCTCCGTGCTTCCTTGCGTTTCTCTCTCTCCATAGACTGTACATTGTTGCTTGAAGAGCGTATTTTGCCACGAACAGAGCTGTTTTGTCAGGGGCCAAACGTTTGATGTTGTGAAAGACTGCATCCCAAGCTGTCGTGTAGTTCTCTTTCAAAATCCCTTTGACAAGAGCTTCCCAGATTTGAGTAGAGTAAGAGCAGTCAAAAAACAGGTGTTGCTTTGTCTCCAAGAGATGATTACATAAAACGCAAGCTGGATCAATAATTGCATATTATGTTAACATTCGATCACCTGTTTGAATACAGTCGTGCATTACTGTCCAGAAGAAGAAGGAAAACTTAGGTGTAGAGTTCTTAAACCAAGTCAGCTCATGCCAGTCACAGCGCAGGTGAACTTCTTGGATAAGGAGCCATGTATCTTTAGATTTGAATCTCGGTTTGTACACATCACTTCTGCACTTCCATTTAGCTATATCATCTGCTTGAGAAGCTAAGCCTTTTAAAACATCATTATCATCCTCAACTTTGCTAAGCAGAGTACTCCGATGTCTTCTCCGCCTGTGGTTCTGTAAAACCTCTTTGACAGTGGCGTTCAGAGAGATTCCCATATCGATGCTACCATCAGCCGACCCTGAGATCACCAATGGTCATCCCCAGTGGCGGAGTCACATTATGTGAGATGGGGTCACTCGCCCCCAATGATTTTAAAAAATTGGTATAATTTATTAAAGCTTAATACCAATGCCTCCATTTCTAAAATCATATATACTCCTATTTTCCCCAATGAAAAAAAATTCTGACTCTGCCACTGGTCATACCAGAACGAAGTTCCCATGCCATTTTTCACCTCCATCCGATGGAACTGCTGACCCAAAGGGCACATTTTCAAAATCTTACGCCACATCCAAGATCCTGAGTAATGCCTACGTAAAACTTTGCAGACCAGAAGTTGTCTTTGCCAAGTAAATACAAGTGAATCCATCTCTTCCACATTGAATCAGCAGGAGACAGCAATCGCCAGATGAGTTTCAAAACATTGACCGTATTAGCTTCCTTAAGTGGTCTCAGCCCTAGACCACCCTTCACTCTCGGCCTGGTAACTATATCCAGAGTCGTGCTTATAGTGTATTAGAAAATGCATTTGCCTCAAGCCCTTCCAAAAATATATAAATCTAAATATTTTTAGTCAACACTTCTTCAATTTTCTTACACCTTGCTCTATTTTCTTCATCTTTCAATCTGTCTAAATTTGTTTGTACTTTGATTTTTTTCGTCTAAACAAACTGCTGCATTTAACGAATTTAATAACTTAAAAAAGCAACTATATTCATGTTTCTTTCCAATATTTTGACATTTAAAACTCTTTTATCTAGAAAATATATATTAAATCTTAGATTTTTATATGTTTTTTCAATATTTTGTAATTATATGAAAAAACTCCACTTTATAATTTTGCCTTAAGCTCCTAAACTCTTCGCACGGCACTGACTATATCCCACGCCACTTTTGCCTTGTGTGCTTGCAAGGTTGGTCTCGACCATAAAAATGCTGTGCATAACTTCTCTATTTCATCAATGCATGAGCTTGGGAGTCGAAATGCAGTCAGCCAGAAATTAGCAATGCTCATCAATACCGATCGAATAAGTTGCAGGCACCCTGCATAGGAAAAAAAACTGACAGTCCATGAGATAATATTGGCTCTAATCTTCTCTATAAGGGGCTGGTAATCCCCTTGTCGCATGCATTTTGTCAAGAGTGGTAACCCCAAGTAGCGAACTGGTAATTGACCTTATGCAAATGGAAAATTTGCAAGAATCAAGTCCTGTTCTGACTATGGGATACCAGCCATGAAGATGGTTGATTTATCTAAACTGATTCTGAGACCTGAGTATTTTTCAAACTGCTCAAAGACCTTCAGCACCCCTTCAACTGATCGTTTTTTCCCATTCGTGAAAACCATAATATCGTCGGTGAAGCTCAAATGTGTGAGTGGGACGTTTTGGCATCGAGGATGATATCCAATGTCCCTTCTCTGAGCTGCTTCATCAAGCATCTTAGATAAAACGTTCATGCACATTACAAACAAGTAAGGTGAGAGTGCACAACCCTGTCTGAGGCCTCTTTCACTACGGAAAAATCCAGCTATTTCACCGTTGACCTGCACCGAGAAGGATGCAGTGGTGACACAGAGGGTGATCCAATGAATGAACCTTGGAGGGAAGTGCATCGCCGAGAGAATGTTGAGGATGAAAGGCCACTGAACCGAGTCAAATGCTTTGGAGATGTCAATCTTCAAGGCACTACACGCTGAGATAGAAACAGTGTGGTAATCTTTAACTAGCTCAGTTACCAAGAGCAAAATCTCCATTAACAATCTGTCCTTCACAAAAACAGATTGATTTGGGGCTATAAGCTGAGGCATCAATCTTTTTAATTGGTTTGCAATGACCTTAGATATCACCTTGATATTGCAACAGGATATTGGCCTATAATCCCTCATCTCCTTTGCATCCATTTTCTTAGGGATAAGGGCAAGAATAGTGGTGTTTATACCTTTTGGTAAGAAACCTTTTATGAAGAATGATTGGATCGCTGTAGTGAAATCATCCCCAATTACTGGCCAAGCTGCTCGAAAGAACTCACAGGTGAACCCGTCAGGTCCCGGAGACTTGTTCACAGACATTGAAAACAGAACCTTTCTGATCTCTTCTGCAGATACCTCAGACTCAAGCATATCACAATCTCCTACAGAGCATCTGAAATCCAATAACTCCTCTAATGCTGTGACAGAAGGTTCCTCAAAATCAACTGGTTTATGAGTAAGAAACTCATGGAAAAATCGCTCAGCTTCCTGTTTGATACCCTCTTGAGTGTTCACAATCTCTCCATTAGGACATTGAATCTCACGAATGGTGTTCCATAGTTCTATGGTTTTGACTGCATTGTGAAATATTTTGTTGTTTTGATCTTCATCTCAAGCCAGTGAAGCTTGGACTTTTGCCTGTAGAACTCTTCTTCCAACGTTGCCACAGTCTGCCACCTCTCAAAGGCTTCCGCTTCATCTCTGATATGATCGGGTGTTGGTTGCAGCAGAGTTTCTCACTGTTTCTCGCAAAGAGTTTCATACGCCTCCTTTGCTCTTCTCAGTAAGTCTCCAAATTTCTTTTTACTCAGCTCTCTGATACCAGGTTTTTAAGCTTTTATTTTTTTTAAAAACCGAAAGAGAGCAGAAGTAGAATGAAATAAAATTGCAGTTTTAGACCAATGCTCCTCTATCAGTGGCCTAAATTCCAGCATTTTCCCCAAAGAATTCATGAAATTGAAAGGCTGTTTCTTTTTCATCTCTCTTGTGTCTAACTGTATTCTGCATCTGAGATGATCTGAGCATCCTCCCGCCTCAAAGACACTGTATGCTTGGCCATGCCGATAAAGCCAAACATCGTTTATTAAAACTCTGTCTAGTTTTTTGCATATCAGCCCCTCCTCCCTTTTGTTACACCACATAAAAACGGACCATGACCTCCCATATCCGACAATGAGCAATGCCTTATTACTTCCTGGAAGTCTATCATCCCAGCAGAAGTGATTGGCGATGAATCAACATTTGAATGCTCCTCATTATCCAACGTCTCGTTAAAATCTCCCATGAGTATCCAAGGTTTATTTCTAAACAATGGTGAATCATGATGATTTTTGATATCCTCCCATAACTCCTTCCTTTCCTCCATCGTGTTTAAAGCGTATATAAAGCTGCAGAAGAACTCTTCTTCAGCCCCATCCAACAGAACAGAACAGGTTATCATCTGGTGACTCTTGAATACTGGTGACATACGAATAGTAGGCCTCCACACGATCCAGATACAACCAAGATGACTATATTCATAATTTGCCATAAAAGACCAGTTCCTAAACACAGAATCCGTAATCTTCCAAGCTTTATTTTCTTTAACACTTGTTTCCAACAGACACCTAAACTGAAACTCCACATCCCGAATCCAGTTTCGAACTATGGAATGTTTTAAAGTTTTGTTGAATCCGCGCACATTCCATGAGAAGCTCGACATTTAGGAACTTTGGCGAGAGACCTTTTTACCCGTAGCATTAAGGGTGTTCTTAGTTACCTGAGTGTTTATCTCTGCTTAAAACTTGTGCTTATTCTTCAAGTTTAAGGCCTTACGCTACCCTCTGCTTCTTCCTTTTGATTCTGGTGGACCACTTCTGTCTTCTTTCCCACTTGCGATGGTTGAGAAGCCAATGTTTGTCCCTCCAAATCCTCTGTTTCTGTTTTGACTATTTTCCCTTTTTCTTCAGTATTACTGAGAACAGAGAATTTAGAGGCTGAGATGTGAGATTCTTGCACTCCCTTCTCCAGACTCTAGCTTATACTTTGTCCTGTTTTTGATGGCGAAACCTGAGTCCACTGTTTAGAATTTTCAGCCGCTCTCTCCCTTGTTTGCTCATCAGACTCTGCAGTTACTTCATCCGAAACCTCCACAACACGATTCTCTGTTTGAACTGTTTTTGCAGTCCTTGCAGTTGGTGTCTCTGCACTCTTAGGAATATAGCTAGTTTTCTTTGGGCTTGTTGCCAAAGTTGTCTTTGTTGTACTATCCTCAGCTGATCAATTTTTGTTTTTCACTCAGGCAGTATCCAAATGCTCCCACTTTTCGCAAGAAACACATCTTGGAGGAAGCCAAGGGTAATGAAATTCCACCAGAGATTCCGACCCATGTTTTGAGAAGTTAATTTCCTTTGGTAGTTCTTTGGTTAAGTCTGCATTCACAAAGATCTTTGATATGTCAAAACTCGAACAAGCGGCTGTTTCCGGATGCAAGTGCTTTGGTTCACCCACTGCACTAGTGATGAAACTCAGACCCTTCCATGAAAACATACTCATCGGAACGTTTTTGAGATGAACCCAGATAGGAACTGATGTCAGCTCAGGAGTGTCTTTCTGTGTAAAAGAAGTCTACTTTGAACCCACCATTGGTATCTCTGCAATGCTCCACATGCTCCGACGGAGAACCCTTGCTCGTATCTGTGGATTTTGAATTCTGAACTTCATCGTCGTAGAATTAATCACTTGGATGTCAATTTTTTGCAGGTTTTCTCCCTGCGACCAAATCTTGTTCACTATAACATTAACTTTCAGACTACAAAATCTTCCCATAAGGGAGACGGGTTCTGAAAAATATCATCGGGAACCTCGACTGATCGCTGATCTGAGTTGGAGCATGTGGCTGTGAGGCAGGCGGCTGAGAGTTGGGAAGGTCACCAGGGACCTCCAGTGATGCCATGGCGGCCAAAGCGGCGCCGGCAAACTTGCTTGATGGAGACAAAAACCGAAAACCCTAATCGTCTTCTTATTGCCTCAGAGCTAAAATACACTGTTTTAAAAATCTCCATTTTGGAAGTTTTTTGGAGATATTAAACACAAACCAATTTACAAAGTATATCTGCTTATAATCTATGGGAAAAATTGCTACAATGATTGATTTCAGAAATGGTAAACAGTAGTGTTTAACTAGATGTTTGCCTATGCGTCATATGCTACACTTGACAAAATAGCCACATAATTTTTTTGACATTGACATCTCAAAATTGCTCACTAGAGATGCCGAAGACTTTACTGTTGTTTAATTTTATTTTATTTTTGTTAAAGATTTTGGATAAAATTTTCAAAATATCTGTTCTTTTAGTTTCTATTTCTACAAATATGTGTTATTTATTTGAGTTTGCAAATTAACATTATTTTGCATTGTATATATGTATATGAATTCGGCCATAATATGTGTATATTGGTATCAGTTGTCAATATTGTGAAACAAAATAAATAAATACAAAATACATAAAAGCAAAAACAAAAGGTGAAATGACGAAAATGACCACGACGTACAATCGTTCTCGTAGGCATCATTTCGAGAAAGCGAGGGACCCATGCAATCCACGTAACGGAGACATGCACAGTTCCTGCGTAATCGAATACTATTTATTTTATTCTTTATTTCACCTAATCGAACATTATTATATATTCTTTTTTAGTGATGGAAAGAAAGATATCACAGGATTGCTTCTTCCATAGTTCCATACACAAACTCCACCGCCCTAATTTGCATATACTCTTATTATTTGTTTATGTATAATTATATATGTTATTAGGAAATGTATAAGATATTAAGAATACACTTTTACCAAAAATATGTACAATATCTTTCTTTAATCTTTTTTTTTTTGAACTGCGTACATGTTTATACTATGTTATGTATGTCGTAATACCATGCAAAAATCCATTGAGCTAATTACGGGTCTATTATTTTCTTTCTATCTATCTTCCATCACAAAAATCATCATGTATTAGACCAAATAATATTGGGATTACTTCTACATTATTATTATTTTTTCTTAAGTAGGAGGAGGAATTCGGATTAATACCCTTTTTTTTTGCTAATATCTTATGGCATAACGTAAGTATCCTCTGTACCGAAAATCAAACTATAATCACAACAAAACCAATCTTTCCATTAAATCACTAGCCTAATCTGGTGGTCATCAATATTTTAAAAACAAATTAATTAAGATAAAGTTTATTTTTTCTCCTATACATTACTCTTGTCATTTTTTTCTAGTTGTATCAATTCATTAGATTCTACCTATCTATCTACTATCCTATTTCTTGAAACAATGAGGGAAATGATGAATATTATATGCACTTATTAGCTTTTCTCTTTGACTAGTATTGATATACGTTAGTACGCAATTGGTGTTTGTCAAGTTAGTCAAAAAAAATATTTTATTGGGAAAAGGAGAATATGAAAAGAAATGAGAAATTAAAAGAAAACAAAGCAAGAACCCTGCTTTCTTCCACCTCCTCTCCTTTCATTTATTTTATCAGCTTTTCCTTTTGCCTAAGCTTTTAAGATTCTTTGATAATCGCTTAATGACCTTATTACCATTACACGCTTTGTCCTTTTCTTTGAGATTGCTTGTTGTACAGTGGCATGCCTACCGACAATTCTAAGTCCTTTCAGGGGCTAAATAGTATTTTACTCGGTTTGCACAAAGAAAAGTAGTAATCTATTCCAAAGAAAATTTGGAACAAGTCTTGTCTCGCGTTATGCAAACCCTAGTCTGAATTCACCATATATGTCCATTCTCTCCAGGCGCTGCTTGTATAAAGGGTGCTTTGGTAATTTCATACCTCGTTGCCATTCGACTTTTGTATACAATTATTTGGTTTTACTTTAGTAATGAAATTCAGGAGTGTGAAAATTTGAAAACCTCTCTCTTCTCTTTATCTCATCAACCTCATTCTTCTTCTTATTTACTAGATCTCTCTTTTTTTGTTTCATTTTATTCTTCTTGTTCATCTTCTCTTCCTTGCTTTATCTTATCTCGCGGCTCTGACCAGCTCTCGAGTTGTTCGTTTCTGGTTAATGGATATTGAACCCTCTTGGGATCTTGGGGGGGTGGTTATTTCTATTTCTAAATTGCATGGCAACATCAAATGACCAAACCAATACCAAATCATCACATTCTCATACTCTTATCCTTATCCTCACCTTCTTATCTTTCCTTCTCCTCATTAGCCTTACAATCCCCATGACTCATCATCAATCCACATCTACGGTTGCTCCCTGCAAGAGGGTTCTTCTCGAACCTTCGGTTCCAGCTTCATCGACAATGGATCTGCATCCAAAGGCTCGCACACGACGTAGCCGCGCTTCTAGAAGGAGAGAGTTTGGAAATGATGCTCATGAAGTTCCTAGTGGTCCAAACCCTATTTCCAACTAGGTAAGTTGGCATATCTGGTTTTACCCGTGAGTTTTAAAGAGATGTTATTATATATCAATATTATATTATATAAACGTGGAGAAGCTTCTGATCGATGGAGATTAGAGAAGAACTCGATTGTTATGGATTTAGTATATATCTTTGGATGATGGATCAATTTGGTACCCTTCATTTCCTGCGTAAATCGTTTGTTCGTTTTGATATTTGCTTTCTCCATCTTTTAAGTTTTGAAGTTAGAGTTGTAAAGAAGAGATACTATTATTCGTTAATCGTTCACATGTGTATGTAGCCACCTCTATATTTTTCCTTCACACAATATTTGGGGCATATAGAATCCCTTATCAGTAGAATTATCTAATTATAGTAAATTTTTAATTATTAAAAGCTTGGAACATGAACATAAAAGACCCTAGTTGTAACAATATTGAATAACAATGAAAATCACGACTCATTTAATTCCCAAAAACTTGTTAGATCTCTTTTCTCCGGACAAAACTGTCATAGTGTCTCCTTGATTTCTGAATATAACTTTGAAAAGAAAATGCAAAAGAGCTATGTCCGATATCAATTATCTAAAGCATTTTTTCCCCTACCGAAAACAAATAACGGAAAAAAAACCCGGAAAAAGTAGTAATAATCTTTAAACAATAATAATAATAGTTCAGGTTGATATGGACCCTCGATATTCATACCCAACCATAGGATACGATTCGAGACAGAAGTCAGAAGACCCATTATCTTTCTATAATTTTTTTTTCACTATAAAATAAAATATATTTCAGAAAAATTTGAATCAGCTTTTTCTTTCGTTAGGTTGAACGACAAAGACTGTCGAGAAGAAGAAGCAAAATTATTAGACAAGAATCGGTTCCTAAATATAGCTTTTTGTCTTATCAAAGCGCAGTGTCCGAGAAAAAACCAAAAGCTGAATAAGAAAAATGTGATGATTTAATAATTATAATCGTATCATTTCCTTGTTGTTGAATTATATGCCATCAATCATTTGCTTTATGATTTTCCACTTTTTTCTCTTTCTATCTTTATTTAAGGTCTAATATTATGTTATTTTTTTGGTTAACGGTCTTGATTTTCTGGTCAAGATTTTCTTATATATATTTACAAGCTACAATATCAATTGAACACTTTCTTCTATATTCGAAAGTTACAAAAAATAGCTTTAATAAGAAATGAACTGATGGTGCATAAATCGAAGTTATACGTTTTAGAATGTTAAAAAATGTCACAAAAGAAAGCTAAGAATTCGCACGAGAGATAGCTAGTGAATTCAAATATATTTCAATCTATCCAAGTTAGTTCTACAAATATTTTGTTTCTTTGCTCCTTTCTTTCAAGTTGGTGGGTGTAAATTAGAACGAGAGACCTTGTATGGTGGTGGAACTACTAGGCCAAATCATTTTGCTTGCTGAGGAGCTTTGGTTAACCAAGTAGACGGCTTTAGATTCTCATTCGATTATAATTTTATATGAAAAATTAGATGAAGATATATATAATGGGGCAGAGAAGCCACGGTCATGACCACTTAAGAGCCGGTTAAGCATTAAATATTCTGGTACGGAAAAGCAGATCCCTCTCAACTAAGCGAAACACGCTTTTCCGACCAAAGAGACATAAAAATAGACAAACACATTGCACTAAGACAATCTCACCATGTCACACATTTTTTTTTTTTGGCTAAATATGTGAATTTCATATAAAATGAGAAGGTTTGTAAATAATTACAAAAAGCTGAACAAGATAAGAAATCCCTTGGCAAAAAAGAATAAAAACAAGGGAGATCCTAGATATAAGTAACTCGGACTACTCGTGAGTAAGCCACTCTTGCATGAGGCCTAAGAAGTCTTTCTTCGTCCTCTTGGCCAAGATGGTGTCTCAAACATGCCGGTCAATACGCTTGAAGATTGCTTGAGGGGTGGTGGAGACACTGTTGAAAAACATGTTGTTCCGTTCAATCCAGAGAGAGTAAATAGTGGCGAGGGCAACTATACGACAGAGGAGTATGGAGGAGGTGGTGTCCCTTAGACTCAGCCAGCACATGAAAGCGTCCCATGTATGAAAAGCAAACAGGCTATAACCCAACCTTATCAGAACCAAATCCCATAACTGCTCACTTACTTCACAACGGAGAAACAAATGATCGCAGTTCTCCTCGAAACAATCACACAAACAGCACAGAGAGGAGATACCAAGACCCCATTTGACAAGTCGGGCTCTAGTCGAGAGTCTGTCGAGTTGGGAAACCCACATGGTGAACGCGTAGCGAGGGATCGCTCCTTTGAACCACACAGAGGAAACATATTGATGCTTTGGAGCACGTGGACGGAGCTCACTCCAAGTGTTTTTTGCTGAGAAGTAGCTGAGGTCAAGATCGTTTGCGCGCCATAGGAAGGAGTCCTCTGAAGAGGAAGCAGCCGGGAGTGGAACAGTTGTGAGGAAGATTTGAAACGACTCTAAAACAGGTGATCGCGCTCCTCTAAAACGCCGACCCTGAGCATTGCAAGCAGAGGCAACAGAGGCGACTAACGGAATAGCGAGTTCCTAAGGTCCAACAGATCCAAAGTGGTTAATAAGAGGGCCAAAGGGGGTCTAATTACCCATCCAGAAACTTGTTTTTTCACCATTTCCAACCTTTAACCTGATGAAACGAGCCACAAGAGGTTTTAGGGAGAGCAGAGAATTCCATGTCCAAGAAGATGGCTTCTTGGCATCGAGAGACCAGAAAATACCACCATGTCACACATGCCAAAAGCACACTACAATCTCATTCTGGTCACGAAACAGCCGTAGATTGATTGATATTTGCTCATTCTGGTCGAAATTTCCGCGCATGTTTCTCTTGTTCGCAATACTGGCATGTTTTTACAAAAACTAGTATGTTTTTACAAAATTTGGCATGATTTTTTTTGACCGATTATCTATATGATTTTAAACCACCGCCAAAGAAAAGCTGACTCAAGTGGTTTTCTTGTGTCCAAATGTCAGTTTGATCTACCAATTAGAAGATCTCCAACGAATCCCAAACTTCTGACCTTTATGAATCACTTTGAATCCCAAATTGCTCATTTTCTTACATAGCAACCTAAAACATATAAAAACATGATTAAAAACTAAAAGAATCTAAAAGACCAAAAATTAAGCTATTCAAATACTAAAACAAATACCAAAACTAAATGTTAGAAAGCTGTTAAAACACATCTTATCAGAAATGACCTCCCTTTTCAATTTACATTCCTGAAACCTACGCATGAAATATTTTATACCACGAATTAACTAGCATATCAAGTATAGAAATTCAAGAATGATAAATTGGGATTCACACGAAAACTAGATTCAGAATCGGCGCTCATGATCTTTTGACTTAATTTATAATCAACTTTTCAAGAAATAAACAAAAAAGGCCAATTGGTAAAATGATTTAAGGTATCATATAAAAAACTGTATAATTCATCATTTTACAACAAATAATCACATTTTTCTAGAAGCAGCTGAAATGTTTCAAATACAATTCATTTAACGATTTTTCCAGATTGATTGTTAGTTATTTTTAATTGGTTTTTAGTTATTTTTACTTTTTAGACATGCAGTACATTGTTAGTTTTAATTTAATCATTGCACTTGACTAGGCCCAATCTGATATAAGTTCAAAAGACTAGATAAGCTCACAAAGGATTCATCACCAACCTCACCAAAGATTTGTAATCGAACTTATCATGCATATAAGAAACAAAAGTATTCCAAAAGGCAAAGCTCACCGAGCATCATAACCTGACTGAGCATTCATAATCGACCTTATCAAATAATGAAAGAGGATACTTGACTCCCAATTCCACATGAATTGAAGAGAGAGGACTATTCTTATTGAAGGGAGAGAATGACAACACAAGAGAGGGGGCAACACGCCATGCAGCCCTAGAGACCAGATCTCGTCGTTGAACATAATTGATGACGTGATGAATGTCACCAACAAAACCATCGAAGAGACCATCGTCAACGACATGGATGATCATTATCAATGAGATCAACACCGCTTCCTAGAGATAACGAGCAAGATTTGTTCAAAGCGAGGCTTTTCGCAAGCTGACGATCAGCCAAAGACACTATTAAAATTCTTACAACGATTAAAGAGATTGATTTATTTATTGTAATTGATGAAAATGAACCAAAGTTCGTTAATCACAAAATATTTTTATTTTTGTCATTCTGCCGATATCTGTCCACATACGAATCGATTAAATTTTGTCAGACATTTACCAGTTTAAATAATCAGCAAAAAACACTACTATATCTATCACCCCAAGAAAAATGGTGTTTAACTATTTATTTTTCTCAGGCTACTTAGTTAGTTTTTTGTTTTATCACAACTAGGAGAGAACCCGCGCATATGCGCGGATCTTGTTTTGATTTATATTTTAAATAATACATTTTTAGAATTTGTTTTGAATTGTATTTTTACCATCATTTTTTCGTTTAAAATATTTATATTTTCTTCGATTTCTTCTAGATGATATACTATTTGTAACCTCTTCGACATGAGTTGTGCCAAATAATCCGATTTTTCTCCTACGGTAATGAGAGACTAAAGATCTACTATTTTAATTTATGTATAAAAACGTAATATCTCATAGAAAAATTTACCATTTTGAGTTTTTTTGGTTATATATATTTTATTGATTCCATTTTTAAATTTTAAAAAAAAAAACTTTGTATGACATTTTGATGTATCTACTCTTCTTTTTTACTATTACTGTTTCTAATAACTTTTATTTTTATAATCGTTTATTGAATATTTAGTCTTATAATTTTATTAGTAAGAGTTTTATATAGGATTATTTAAAATTTCTTAACTTATTCAGTCTCTTAATTATTTTTCACTTACATTAAAATTTAATGATATTTTTAGTTTGAAAATGTAGTTTAAATCACTTGGAAAAAGGAAATAGAATGGTGGATTTAAAAAATCTTGTATTATATAATATTTTTAAGTTTTGATATATTTAAAATAAATTTAAATTTTATTTATTTAAATAATTTTGTTCATATAAATATTAATATTTATTAATGTGCTTTAATGTTTTTCTTTAAATGTGATTAATTAAATGTTTTTCTTTAAATGTAATTAATTGTTTATTTCATTAAGATTTTAAATGGACAGGTGGCACTTTCTCCAATGTTGATGTGGCAAGCAGCTGGAGAAAGTTGGCCAAGTTTTATATATAAAACTAGATGATTACCCACGCAAATGCGTGGATTTTTTTTAATTATTATTTATCTAATGCTTAAAACCTAAATTAAATTTAGATTTTTGGTTGTTTTTGGATATTCATGTGGAAAAAATTAGTTTTTTACTTATTTTTATAAGGTGTTCTTGTTTTGCTTAGCTTTTTTATTGGCTCGTTTTTTTTTATAAATTTATTGGTTTTTTGTTAGTTTTTTACATATTTTCTTAAGGTGTTCTTATTTTGGTTGGCTTTTATATTAGCTTTTTCTTTTGTCTTCAAAAAGCTTATTAAACTTTTCTCTACTAAAAACCCTTAATTTCATTTTTTAAGACTACATTATCTTATTTTTGGAACATCATAAACGAATCTGATATGAGAATCCATCAAATCTAGATATGTAGTCTATATTTTCTTTTACTGGTATCAAAAGTAGTAAGATAATTCTCATAATTATTCAAACATAAAAAAATTCACGGCATCAAATAGTTCTTCAAATCAGAGTAGCTTACATGATCATTATACCACACATCTTATGGTAAAGACTTCTTCTTTTTCTGTTATGTGAATTAAATTCAACTTAGAACAAACCATTAGCGAATTTTTACCTTTTTGTAAAACATAGTCAAGTTTACTAAATTCAGTGCGTGTTAATTATCTTTAACTTACCTAAACAAATGTTTCATTTTTTTCTTTGCTTGTTTCCAACGCTTGTTTACTTTGATTTCCATGCATGTATCGCATTCAATGATTTGTTATAGTGTTTTATCTAAACCATGTTACGAACATCACTGCATCATCAACTTGGAAATATAACGCTAACCAATTGATCCTCTTCCCTCCATTAAGCGAACCCCTATAGATTCCCTAATACCCGAAATATGAAAAGTCATAATAAGAATTTTTTCTTTTTTTTTATGATCATAAAGTCAAAAATGTTTAGTAAGAAAAATTAAATTAGTAGTAAATTTCTCTTTTGAGAACCCAAATAAGCAAGGTATAAAAAAGTTTATCAGTAATTCTCAGAGTAACTAATCATCTTTCATAAGTTCATAGTCACCATATTTGTGAAATGTATGTAGCAAATTAACATTCAAACAGTAAAGTAAAAAAAAGGAGAGTTCTTGATCACAAAAAGGAGAGTTCTTGATCACACTATTTATAGAATTCTCGAACAAAATTCTTCTTCTCCTTTAAACGAACATAATTGAGTGTTACCGTTAATGTCTCTGACCGTAACCAAAAAATAAATCTAAAACTGTGGATCTATGGACAACGTTTATTGTCGGAGGCTTCTACATAAAAACCTGCATAAGTTACAATTTAAAGCTGTAGATTGGAGATTTATCAGAAAATTTTGAGTTATTTTAACTATTTTTTTTCTTTTTTTCTTTTTCATATTTGCGTTGAAACGTGTAAAAAAAATCTTTATATTAACAATGTTTGAAGCGTCATTAAGATTATGAAACATTAAAAGCTGAAGTTAAAAAGCCATCATAATAAATAATCAAATTATAAGAAAAATGATTATGAAAATAAATAGTTTTAATTTAGTTTTTTTTTAATAACAAATAAATGAGCTGATGTGTCATAAAAATGAGTGTTGATGTATCAAGTTTGTGAGACTCAACTGAGTCTTTATATAATAGATTTAAGTTTTTTCTTATACACTATATCAGATGAAAATTAAAGCTGTCATTTATCAGGATAACTTTATGAAATACTTAAATTTATTGAAAGTTGAAACCTTTATTACCATTTAACTAAAACACATACAGTATATAGTGCGTAAAAAAAATCTAGCTGTTTTGGGTCAATTGAAAAACAAATTAAAACCATCAATTTAGAACAAATAAAAATTATTTAATCATATTTTTTTTTACTCGCAATATACACCAGACAATAATAAAACAGTATTATACATCGCTACAGTCTTGTCAAATACATTAATCTAGCCAAAACCATTATAACTATTTAAATAAACCATATATGTAAACATATATTTATCTACTGTCTTGGGTCAATTGAAGAATAAATATCATTTCAAAACAAATAATCACATTTTTCTAGATGCATTTAGAATCTATATAAAACCAAAAAAAAAAAAAACTAACCATTTTTTTTATGTTTTTTTAATGGGTTTTTATTTTTTTTCCTAACAATATACCAATTAAAAGTCTGTAAAAAACACAATTACACACCGGTATATTTCTGCCAAATACATTTATCTATCCTTTTTTTTGTCGTCATACATTTATCTATCCAAAACCATTACAATTACCATTCAATTACCATTACTATTAATATACAATAAATTCACTCATTTGGCTGTTTTGGGTTAATTGAAGAAAGAAAAAAAGTCTCATTTCAGAAAAGATAAATCACATTTTTATAAATGCAGTTAAAATCTATTTAATAAAAGTTACTTATTCATAGTTTTCATATTGATTGGTAGACTGTTAGTTGTTTTTTCTAAATTGTTTTTTCCCTCACAATATAAAGTCTGTAAAGAAAACTATACATTGGTACAATTCTACATCGGTACATTTCTGTCCAATACATTTTATCTATCAAAAACTATTATTACCATTTTATTTGAACAATATATATTTAGCTGCCATGGGTTTCTAAAGAACAAAATTGATCATTTTTTAAAAAAAATAAGTCACACTTTTTAGGCGCTGTTTATATTTTTGAGTAAAATTTATTTAATTAAATTTCAGATGGATTCTTCATTTTTTATTAGTTTCCGATGTATTTGTTTTACAATATATGTCAAATTAAAAACCATAACAAACAAGAGAAGTGTTTTTCTTTCTTTCTCTTCTTTCATCCCCATCTTTGGAGAGAGACACTTTATTTGTAAATTCCAATTAATATCGAATCATCTTTTCAGTTTCAACCGAATCTAATAATTCCAACTATGATCAGATTTTCTTTTGTTTTGGATCGTTCTGTCATTTGATTATGTTCATTGGATTTTTTTCGCTAGTTTTATTTATCGGTTCTTTCTACTTGAGTGAAATCTTTCACTAATCCTTTACTGGAATGAATGATCTCTTCATAATAGAATAATCGTTGGTCTTTAGTGGTAAGAACTATGTATAGGAGGTGACCTCCTGAGGGTTGGGTGGGCTGAGGGATGACCGAGCGAGATAAGGGTTATCGTAAGGGTTGGTGGTGCATGATCGTCTGAAGGTACATGACTGATCGCCGGGACCAGGGACCGACCACCGGTAAAAAGGAAAGGATTTTCCAGCTGTTGAGATGTTGTTCTGTCCTATCTCTTTAACAGATAGGTTCCTCTTCTATTTGAGGCAGTGATATACAGATCCAGTGACAAGTGTTTGAAATATTCAATTGACATCATCCTCTCTTGGCTGTGAGTTATAGATCTCTCTAAATCTCCTCTTAAAAAAAATTATTTAAGGATTAGGGTGACATATTTCTTAAGTTTGTATTGATCGATGGTGAAATTCATGAAGAAGTGGAAATTGCTGACTTCAGATGTACACAAGATCAAATCATAGGAGTTAAAAAAGGTGAAGGAGCAGTGGTCTAACGCGGCGGCGTGGTGGTCAATGGTGGATGCATCATTGGAAATTTTGTTGGTGATGAATGAGCGGTGCTGCAACACATTCATCTCTCTGCCTACATGGGCTCTTGAGTTCATATACGATTTATACGTATCGTAATACGTGTTGGATGACTTGTAATGCTTATTGGACTTTTTGATGTGTTGTAAATTGTTCTACCTTTTGGGCTTTTAGATGGCAAAAAAACGATAACAAATAACACTATCATTTATAGGTACATGTGTGAAACCATTATTACCATTTACTTATATAGATAACTAGCTATCTGAGGTCAATTGAAGAAATAAATCTTCATTTTAGAACAAATATATTATTATTACATGAATTGTTAGTTTTATATCGATATATAATACGTTTTGTGAACTTATAATACATTATACGATGTTTTCAAATACATTAAATCTATCTAAAACTATTATTACTTTTAATTAAACCATATATGTATATCTAGCTGTCTTCAGTCAAATAAATAAATAAAAATCATAATAAAAAGTTCCAAAATTTTCTCCTGGATAACATGCATATTAACTGTCAAAATTTTATTTGCCAGTAAAGATTGCATAGTATGATAGATTTGAATTGTTGATGGTTTAGCTATCTATCAGATCTTGGTATAAATCTAAGCCACCTCAGAATTACAAGAAGAAACTACTAGGTACGGAAAGATCCTAAAACAAACTTTAATGTTCTAGATACCAGGCGTGGTGGTCAACAGTGGATGCATCAGTGGAAATTTTTTGAGTGATGAACGGGCGGTGCTGCAACACATTCATCTCACGTGCTCTTGAGTTCATACGATTTACATGTGTTGTAATACGTGTTGGGAGGCTTGTAATGGGGCTTATTGGGCTTAGTTTATATTTTGTATTGGACCATTAGATGTGTTGTAAACTATTCTGCTTTTTGGGCTTTTTGAAAAAAAAAAAACATAAGAACTAACACTATCATGTTTCGCCTTTTCGGTACACGTGTGAAACTATCATTACCATTTACTTGCAATATAGATAACTAGCTGTCTGGGGTCAATTGAAGAAACAAATCTTCATTTTAGAACAAATAAATCATATTTTTCTAAATATAGTCAAAAAGATTAAAGCAAAATTTCTATAAATATATTTTTATTACATGAATTTTTGAGTTTTATATTGATATATAGTACGTTTTCGGACTTTTAATACATTAATGTGATGTTTTCGAATACATTAAATCTATATAAAACTATTATTACCTTTCAATTAAACCATATATATCTACCTGTCTTCAGTCATATAAAGAAAAAATCATAATAAAAAAATCCCAAAATTTTATTTTGGATAACATGCATATTCACTGTCAAAATTTTATTTGCCAGTAAAGATTGCGTGGTATGATAGATTGGAATTGTTGATGGTTTAGTTATCTATGTGATTATGGTATAAATATAAGCCACCTCAGGATTACAAGAAGAAAATACTAGGCAGAGAAAGATCCTTAAAACAAACTTTGATGTTCTGTACCAGGTCAACAAAATTGGTAAAAAAACACACTTCTTCTTTTTTCTTTCTTTTGTAAAATTGGTAGAAAAATATTTGTTTATTAATGGCAAACAGTAGCCAACATTTCTGTCCAATTAGTTTCATCTTGAGGTTGTCTTTCTCAGTATTGTATCGTTTCAAAAACCTCTCTTTTTTTTTTCTGTTATAACCTATTAAACTCTGCATACAACAGGATACCAAACAATTTCTGGTTTTTTTTTTTTTTGTAGGACTGTTGGATCTTCATATAAAAGCAAACAAAAAGCCTTGGGAGATCTTTTAATCGATATCTTCTAAAGAAATGAGTTGTTTCTCGTGTTTCTCTTCGAAAAATACGGACAATGAAGGTTCTTCCATTCCTGCTCCAAGCTCACCTGGTAAGCTCTCGTTCAAATCTTTGAAAATGTTTTGGCTGACTCTTTTTAGATATTCCTTGAAAATTCTAAAAAATAAATTCTGCAATATCTTTTTTTTTTTCTTGTAGATAACCTGAGAGAGAGAAGAACTAGAGAAGTCGCGGCCAGGAATGGAAGACCATCGGACAATACAAAGATTTTCACTTTCCGTGAGTTAGCCACCGCGACAAGTAATTTCAGACAAGAAAACCTCATCGGCGAAGGCGGGTTTGGGCGGGTTTATAAAGGAAAGCTCGACAAAGGACAGGTCAATTTTTTTTTTTTTTTAAAAGCTGAGATCTTTATTTTACTATTAGGACTTTTTGATGTTCAAAAAAAAGATGTTCAAAAATTTTTTTTTTAAAAAACTATTCTTACTTTGAAACATATAAAGCTAATCAAACTCACTAACTTTTCCTTTTTGGTGTTATTTTTGTGTGTTTTGTGATCAGATCGTGGCAGTGAAACAACTTGATAAGAATGGATTACAAGGAGAGAAAGAGTTCGTGGTCGAGGTTTTGATGCTTAGTTGTCTTCATCATTCAAATCTTGTGAATCTCATTGGCTATTGCGCCGCTGGAGACCAAAGAATTCTTGTTTACGAGTATATGCCTCTTGGATCCCTTGAAGATCATCTCTTCGGTAAATCATCATCTCAATCTTTTCATTCACTACTCAATTCTAAAAAAAGGTTAACCAAAAGATAATCCTGATGTTTTAAGAATTAAATATTAGATAACCAACCGGTTCGATGATGTAATTAATTAAAAACAGATATTGAACCGAATCAGAAGCCACTAGACTGGAACACGCGTATTAAGATTGCTTTAGGAGCGGCAAAAGGACTAGAGCATCTTCATGACAAAGCTGATCCTCCAGTGATTTATCGAGATCTTAAACCATCAAATATATTGCTAAACCGAGAATTTGTCGCCAAACTATCAGATTTCGGTTTAGCAAAGCTTGGTCCTGTTGGAGATACTACTGGAGAGACACTTAACGTGTCTTCCCGAGTTATGGGAACATACGGTTATTGTGCTCCTGAGTATCAAAGAACCGGCTATCTAACGGTTAAATCAGATGTCTACAGCTTTGGAGTTGTGCTGCTGGAACTGATAACCGGAAGACGAGTTATCGACACAATGAGACCAAGTCATGAACAAAATCTGATTACTTGGGTGAGTTCTTTTATTTGCATAGATATTTTTGGCTCATCAGTGTAAACACTAACCTTAAACTTTGGCTTAGGCACAACCTATTTTCAGAGATCCCAGTAGGTTTCCGCAGCTAGCTGATTCATTGCTTCGAGGCGAATTCCCGGAAAAGAGTTTGAACCAAGCTGTGGCTGTAGCGGCGATGTGTCTGCAAGAAGAACCAACGGTTAGACCACTAATGAGCGATGTTGTTACAGCACTCAGCTTCCTTGGCCCATACTCCAGTACTGGCCCTAACCATTTGTAACAAGATGGGTTTGAGAACTATCATGATGCAGTTCAGGGGAATTAAAGTCCTAGAATAAGTTAAACTCGCGAGTTTAGACATTTCATATTTTGTGACCCAACAATTCACAACATATTGTGTGTTTCTTTCATTTGAATTGTTTTTTTTATTATTGTTAAAGGGTTTGAATTTTATTTGAATTGTTTTTTTATTTGATCAATCAGTATGGTCTATATCGGTTATTTTTTTGCCAGCATCTAAGTTGAATATAACTAAATTTTCATCAGACGTTTAGGGTTATGATTTTTATTCAAAATTTTCTTAACCCTCTTTTCGTTTTTGAGTCGTTATAATAAAATCACTGGTCGATGTTGCCTATTACACCGAGTTACACACAAGAAAGAACGTGAACAAGACGACCTTCTCTCCCAACCTAAACACTTTCTCTGTCTCTTTCTCTATGCTTTTGGTTCTATTGGTCGACCTTGTACATTATGTTGTTCTTATCTCTTACTTATATCAGTTTATATGTAACATACAAAACTACAACCAAAAAATCTAATAAATAAGAATACTCAAAGCTACACTATCAAACCGCCTAGTATACACCTTCACTTGTTTAGAACTTGATTTGCGTTTCATTTGACTTGGGCCTTTCACAATTTTTTTGGTCCTTTATACTCCAAACCCCGTTTGACCCAACACTCATTCCGACTCTGACCTGCCTATATTCTCGTGATCTATAAAAGAATTGATAATTGTGTTATAATAATAGGTATAATTAATTATAAAGATAAATATAAATAAATATGAAAATTTTATACCCGCAAAAGAACAGAATACTCGTAAAAGAGAGAACAAGAGAATAAGAAAGATAGAGGAGGATGTTTTATAATTGAGAGTGAGATGTGTTTTACAATCAAACGAATCTTCGTTTATATAGAAGGTAAAAATTTTAAGTTACTATGCATAAATAGTGACGGTGGACTCCATAATAATTTATCACGTTCGATATACCTCTTTTTACGACGTTCTCTTGTTGTTTATATTCGACATTCATAACACATTGCATATTTTTACAGTTTTATATGCAATGTGTTATGAAAGTCAAATATAAACAGGCCAATTGCATATTTTTGCAGTTTTCGGAACATAATGGTAGGCAATGATTTTGTGAAGAGGTCTGCTGCGTTTTCGCATGATCAGTCATATCTTACTTCAATTTCTTTATTTTTCTCGAGTTCTTCAGTGTACGAGAAGAACTTTGGAATGATATGTTTGGTTCTATCACTTTAGATATAACCTTCCTTTGTCTAGGCAACGCATGCGGTGTTATCTTCATATAAGATAGTTGGCTCCATATTTACGCAAATTCCACTACTTGATTGGATATGTTGACTTATTGATCTCAGCCATACACATTTTCTACTTGCTTCATGGAGCTCGGTAATTTCAGCGTGATTCGAAGAAGTGGCCACGAACATCTGTTTCTGAGAATGCCAAGATATAGCAGTGCCTCCGATCGTGAATACATATCCTGTTTGTGATCGGGCTTTATGTGGATCCGATAAATATCTTGCATCTGCAAAACCAACCCTTTGATTTTTTGAATTTTTAGGATAGAGCAAACCTAAATCAATAGTCCCTTGGAGATAACAAAATACATGTTTGATTCCATTTCAATGTCTTCGTGTAGGGGACAAGCTGAATCTTGCCAGAAGATTAACAGCAAATGATATGTCAGGTCGTGTACAATTGGCAAGATATATAAAGTCTCCAATTGCACTTAGATATGGTACTTCAGGACCAAGTATCTCTTCGTTTTTCTCATGTGGTCGAAATGGATCATTATCAACCTTAAGTGATCTAACGACCATAGGAGTACTTAAAGGATTCACTTTATCCATGTTAAAGCGTCTTAACACTCTTTTTGTATATGTGGACTGATGCACAAATATACCCTTTTCAGAATGCTCAATTTGTAAGCTAAGGCAATACTTTGTCTGTCCGAGATCTTTCATCTCAAATTATCCTTTTAGGTAATTTAATGCCTTTTGTATTTCCCTTTGAGTTCCAATAATATTCAGACCATCAACATATACCGCGATAATTACAAATCCGGATGTTGTTTTCTTAATGAAAACACATGGGCATATAGGACTGTTTACATATCCTTCTTTTGTTAAATGCTCACTGAGACGATTGTACCACATACGTCCAGATTGCTTTAGCCCATATAATGATCTTTGTAATTTTATTGAACATAACTTTTTGGATTTAGAATTTAATGCTGCTGGCATCTTAAATTCGTAGGAGATTCTCATATAGATATCTATATCTAATGTTCCATATAAATATGCTGTAACGACATCCATGAGACGCATCTCTAGATTTTCGTTAGCAGGTAGGCTCATCAGGAATCTAAATGTGATTGTATCCATAACGGGAGAATATATTTCCTCATAATCTTTGAGAAAAACCTTGTGCCATAAGATGAGCTTTGTATCTCATAATCTCATTTCGTTTCCGAACGAAAACCCATTTGTATCCAACCGGTCTCACATATCCAGGTGTGAGTACAATTTGTCCGAATACATTTCGTTTTATAAGAGAATCTAGTTCAACTTTTATAGCATCTTTTCATTTCAACCAGTCTGGCCTCTTTTGACATTCATATACAGACCTTGGCTCTGAATCTTCGTTTTCATCATTTATTTCCTTTGATACGAGGTATGAGAAAACGTCGTCAACATCATCGATTTCATTTCTATTCCATATTTTTCCATTATGGATGTAGTTGATAGAAAGCTCATGATTTTTCTCAGGTTCTTGGGGCTCTGTATTATCATTAGTTTCGTGATTTGCTTCTTCCAAAATACTTTCTGCTATTTTGGGAGTATGCATTTCAGCCTTCTTTCGTTTTCTAAGATTTTTGTTCTTAGAAACGACAGGTCTACCACGCTTCAAGCGTGTTCTAGACTCACATGTATCATCTGCTTTTCCACGTTCTTGTGGTATATTAATACGAGCAGGAGTATTTGCAGCTGGTATATGTGATTTAGTAACCATCTTGGTATCTGCAAATGCATCAGGTAGCTGGTTTGTTATACTCTGTAAATGCATAATTCGTTGAACTTCTAGTTCTGACTGTTTAGTGGGAGGATCAAGGTGTAACAGAGATGGTACACTACATTTGATATCTTTTCCTACACCCTTATTTTCTCCCCTTAGAACCGAGAATAATTTCTCATCAAAGTGACAATCGGCAAATCGTGCCGTAAAGACATCACCAGTCTGTGGTTCCAGGTATTGTATAATTGCTGGAGAATCATATCCAATATATATTCCCAACCGTTTTTGTGGTCCCATCTTTGTATGTTGCGGTGGCGCTATAGGCACGTAAACTGCACAACCAAAGATCCTTAGATAGGAAATATTTGGTTCTCGACCAAATGCTAATTGTAATGGGGAGTACTTATGGTACGCACTTGGTCTTATCCGAATAAGTGTTTCTGCATGCAAAATAGCATGTCCCCATACAGATGTTGGGAGTTTTGATTTCATAATTAATGGTCTTGCAATCAATTGCAGACGCTTAATTAATAATTCAGTCAATCCATTTTGTATATGAACATGAGCCACAGAATGTTCAACTTCAATCCCCATTACAATGCAATAATCATTAAATGTTAGGGATGTGAATTCATCAGCGTTGTCTAATCTAACTCTTTTAATAGGATAATCAGGAAACTGAGCTCGCAGTTTTATTATCTGAGTTACAAATCTCGCAAATGCCATATTTTGAGATGATAATAGATAAACATGTGACAATCTTCTGGATGCGTCAATTAATACCATAAAATAGTGGAATGGTCCACATGATGGATGTATTGGTCCACAAATATCCCCTTGAATTTGTTCAAGGAACTTTGGTGATTCATTATTAATTTTTGTTGGTGATGGCCTTATAATCAATTTACCAAGAGAACATGCAGCACATGTCATTTTATTTCTCTGATGTATCTTTTGAATTTTCATCGAATGACCATGTGAGCTTTCTATAATTTTTTACATCATTGATATTCCTGGGTGACCGAGGCGATCATGCCACAATGTTAAATCTTCTGGATTTCGTTTTGTCACGAGATGTGATTCTATTGCATCTATATATGTATGATGCAAACCGGAAGGGAGTTCTGGAAACTTTTCCAAGATGTATCTTTTGCCTAACTTATCAGAGGTTACATACATATACTTCTTTCCATCCTCAGTTGCAGACTGAGTATCATATCTTTGAAGGTATATGTCTTTGAAACTCAACAAATTTCTTTTTGAATTTGGAGAATACAAGACATTATTGATGGAAAATTTTGTTCCATTAGGCAACATAAAGTTGGTTTTGCCTGTTCCTTCAATCAAGTCTGCGGAACCCGATATTGTATTGACAATAGTCTTTGTCGATTTCATATTAAAGAAATATTTTTTCTTTCTCAAGATAGTGTGTGCTGTTCCACTATCTGGTATACAAATTTCTCGAACATTTTCCTTGGATGTTGTTCCATCTATAATATGATCCATCTCTGTAATTAACATAAACATTAATGATTAAAACTTAAATTTCATTCATAGGAAATCATACAGTAATTATACATTAAATTGTTGTAAAAACAACACTATATGTTTTAAAAACTTAAAACGTAATAATTATACAATAGGCTGTTGAGAGAAGCAACATTATTCGTTTTAAAACTGAAATATAATAATTACACATGGCATTAGCGGAGACTATTCAGTAGTCTCACTACAAGAAATTTAGTTATCCGCTACAGCGGTCTCGTCGAAATCATCCACAAAGCCGGAGGAGTCGAGGTATGATGTACTCTCGAAGTGTTCCGTGAGGTTCACTTCTTTCCCTTTGCCTTTGACAGACTCTTGGTACAACTTACAAAGATGTGGAGGGGTTCGACAGGTATGAGACCAATGTCCTTTGGACCCGCATCTATAACATACATCCTCACGCTTCTGGGTGGTATTCGCTTGGGGTTCTTTCCCCTTTGAAGTTAGTGCAGACAGAATCCACTTGTATGATTTCCTCCCTTTTGGGTT